AGTGTGTGTGGCTGTGAGTGTGTCTCTCTCCCCAGCTGGTCAGTATGTGTGGCTGTGAGTGTGTGTCCTGGTCTCATTGTGTCTCTCTTTCCCCAGCTGAAGGCGGAAGTGAACCTGAGCACATTTGGAGGAAACACCCCTCTTCACCTGGCTGCCAGTCAGGGCTCCCCAGTGCTCTGCTCCATGCTGATCGCTGCGGGTGGGTTTCTGTGTGGTTGGTGACCTGTGTGGCTACAGAGTGATGCGGCAGACACTCAATACCTGTTGTAATGAGGTATCAACTAAAGCATGTAAGAAAGTAACAAATATGAATATACATACAACATGTATACAGTATATCATAATTCTAATTAAAACAATTTATTGTAAATTTTAAGAATTTTTTAAAATGGTGAAGTTCAGTAGGGTTAGAGTTGAGTGTACTACCCTTGTGATGCCAGCTCAGGACTTATAAGCTCCTGTCTCTTCCCTCAGGCGCTGAAAAGCGTGTGGAGAATGATGAGCCACTCTTCTTCAGCTCTTCCTCTTCTTCTGATGATGACGATGATGAGGAGGGGAGAAGCACGACCAGCAGGCTGCCTAGGGGAGAGAATAGACTATCTCCAGCAGACAGTGGCACAACTGTTGCCCCAGACCCACAGCCGTGCAGAGTGACTTCTAACCCACGCAAGAGACCTGCCCGGGGTCACACCCCCTATGATCTGGCCAAGTGTCAGAGGGTGAGCCACACAGCCTGTACCCAGCCTCTCAGTCTCAAACAGGCAGTGCCATGGCTATGACTGGCATTGTTCTGACTGCCTGGTATTGCCTTGACAGACTTGGTATTGTCCTGAGTGCAGGACTCTGGCTCAACTGCCAGGCAGATAGTCCTGACAGACTGACATTCCCTAAGTCAAGCATGCTTATGAAATTTTATCATGGAAAATCTGATGCCATGGTTTTCCTATCCAAAAGCACTTTCACTCCTTCACCTTGTTGCAGTTGTTGTGATTAGCACAGCTTGACGAGCTTTGCAATACCAATAAGCACTTACAGTGATTCCTGGTCTGAGTTTAGTGATTCAGACTTGTAGAGTAAGAAACATGGGCAGAACAAGAGGAAATATTTTTAGGGGGGCAGAAGACACCAGAAGAAGGCTCCACAGCTGAAACATTTTGATTCCTTTCTTCTCTTTTCAGCTGGGAATTAACCTATTACTTATTCCTTTGCAAGAAATTAATTAGTAGTATTGAAGACCAGCAGGGTATAGTTGGTTGTAAAGTGCATTGATTTAATTTTAACAAAGTTTAAAATGGCTTAATGGGGGGAACAGGGCTGTATGAAGAATTCCCAGTTTTGTGCCGGGTGAGTGTTAATTAATCAGTCACTCCTTGCAGGTCCGGGATGTCCTGGAGAGCAAGCCACGACCCAGCACCAGCAAGGACACAACCCTGAGCCCGCAGGCAGAAGAGGAAGGTAGGAGTTGCTGCTCTTAGAGTCAAGTCCTCTGAGGCCACTGACTTCCGAGCCTCAAAGTCCAGGTCTGTGCTCCCTGCTACAAGAGCTGTGCCCTGACTCCAGGCCTGAGAGACAGGGTCTGCATTCCTCACTACAGTTGCTGCACCCAGACTCCAGGCCTGAGAGTCAGGGTCTGCATTCCCCACTACAGGAGCTGCGCCCCGACTCCAGGCCTGAGAGACAGGGTCTGCATTCCCCACTACAGGAGCTGCGCCCCGACTCCAGGCCTGAGAGACAGGGTCTGCATTCCCCACTACAGGAACTGTGACCTGACTCTGAGTCTCAGAGTCCAGGTCTGTGCTCTCCAGGCCTCACAACCCTCTTGATACAAGTACAGAGCCCACTGATCTGTCCTGCCCCCTGTGCCTGGGCACATACTGTAGGCTATAGGCTTGTCTATATTAAGGCGCAATCCATAACTATGCACCGATGTGTACTTGGATGCTGTGACCAAAAATAGCATCATGGACAGCGTCTCCCATCCCCTCTATGACATGCTTGTAGAAATGAAGAGCACATTCAGCAATAGACTGGTCCATCCACGGTGCGACGGGGAGCGCTACAGAAGGTCATTCTTGCCTTCTGGCATAAGACTGTACAATGCATCCACCTTGTGTCTGGGCAGAGGCAACATTGACAGTGACCTGTTTCTGGACTGAACAGTAAACTGCTACATCTGTTCTTTTTCTTTTTCCCATTTACAACCGTTTTCATTCAATATATGCCAGGGACTTGTGCAGTACATTTATATTTCTATTGTGCAGTACAACTTTTCTGTGTACTGTTCTGTTCCGGTTTGTTCTTTGTGTGTTCTGGACTGTTAGTAACTCTTCTTAGTGCACTTCTCACTGTACTGTTCGTATTGTTTGTATTTTATGTACAGTATTGTATTATTATTATTGTATCATTCGTTACACTGTTGCTGTGTTGTCTGTGTTAAGCTGCTGATGCACTGCAATTTCCCTCACAGGATCAATAAAGTATCTGTTATAGCGCTGTAGAGAGTGTGTACTTAGAGAAGAGAGCAGGAAACCATCTTTTCTGCTAAAGATTGAACCATTTCTTCTGGTACTGTACATCATTTGAACCTTGAGTATTAGTTTAAAATATATACAGTAGGAATAAAAAAAGAGAAATGATTAGTCAACCCCAACGTGGGTTTTGCTTCTGAAGCTGATGCCAGGTAACTAAACCCTCTGCCCCTGAGAGCACTCCCTGACCTGGGCTTTCTCTCACTCATGTGCTCTCTGCCCCTGTAGGGAAGATGGATGGGGAGACACTCAACAAGCTGTGTGGGATCCTCAGAAAAGTGGACGTCCAGTGGAAACAGCTGGCAGAGAAATTAGGCATGCTTATGCTGGCCGACCTTTACAAGGAGTGCCCGTCACCCTGCAGGAGCCTGCTGGAGGGCTACCAGGTGAGCCATACTCACAGAGCCAGGAATATAGACAACTTCACAGCCTGGGAGGCAGAAGGCAGAAGAACTCTATGGGATGGCCTTTCTGTGTTACAGCTCCATTTTTCAGCCTGGAGAGGAGAGGAGTTACAGAGCCATTAAAACCACAGTGGCAGATTTACACAGATTGTTCTGAGAAACCCTGAACTGGAACTTAAGTCAGAATGTCTGATGTTAACAGGAAGGTTAACGTCTTCCTTTCCTGCTTTCTTTTAATTAGGCATTTAGGACGGTACCTACCAGCATAGCTCCCCCTGTCACTATACTGGGGTATAATGCACTGTACAGTTTATACCATCTGGTTCTTTAGGAAAGAGTGCCACCTACTGGTCTGCCAGGACCACATCTACCTGTTGCAGGAGAAAGGCCTTTGTCCAGTTGCAGTTTTCAGCTGTGAAAGGGTTGGTTTTTTATGTTTGCCTCCTGACCTTTGGTCTCTGTGTTGCCAGCTGGGAGGAGGTCGAGTGGAAGGGCTGGTGGAAGCACTGGAGGCTATGGGGCTGAATGAAGGAGTGAGGCTGCTGAGACAGACAGAACTGAAGAACAAGACACCAAGCACAGGTACTAGAACTGCGCTCTCTTCATGTTGTATTATTCCACTTTGCCTCCCAATATTAATCTCTGTAGACTACCTGCTCCCCTCTTTATACAAAAGTAAGATAGACAGGTAAGTAAGACAGATATGAAGACTGATCGGTGCTCTTACTGTATGTATTTATGCTGTGTGTTAACTGCCCTTCCTCCCTCCCTGTTTCTCCTTCAGAAGTCAAGGTTGACAGTGGATTCTGCAGCCATCCCACAGAAGAGCTGCAGGAAGAGCACATGGAGGAGTCTGTCTTGGCCAACTCCTGATCCAATTGACATAGCAAGAGGATGGCTGCCCGAGCTCCTGCAACAACTAAAACATCAGACACCAGCTAAGCCACCTCACTTGAGAGGGGTCCTGCAGCAGGTTTCTTATTGACTGTGAGCTCACTGTTCAGATCCTTGGGTCAGCACATGCCACCCTGCGGTGCCACAGAGACCATCACAGTCTTGGGGTGTTCAGTTGCTGTAACCTTAAAAATATCTCTCACTTACCTACAGAACAGACTCTTTCAGTGGAAAATGGACACCATGAGCAAAGTTTGGAGTTGTAAATAACCAGTACTGTTTCTCTGAGTTAATGGCTGGCAAATCATTGACTTCAGGCCTTGCAGGCCACCACAGGAGGGAGAAGGTGGATTCAGTGTCACCTCCTGATGTGTGTGGACTTGGAAAACTTCCGGAGCTTTTATCCTTTTGCTTCTGACATGGAAGGTGGAGAGTGGAAAACACTGCCATATAAAGACAAGCATTTTATTGATATAATTAATAAAACCTCATCCAGTGTGAAAAGGCATGGCATATCTACTGTCCTGATTTCATTTTGGCTTTTTGTTTCAGTATAATTATAGATCTTTAACCTTGTATGTTTTAGTGCACTTTCAAAAACCCATGCTCGAGCCTACCCCCCCACCCCCTGGATAACAATGAACTGGTAATGACCTGCTGCACATTAGCCATGTGAAACTCCAGAGAAAATGAAGAACTTGCTATCACAACAAAGAGGCAGGTTTAATAATCCACCCCCATCCATTTTTAGAACCGCTTATCCAGTGACGGCTTGTTAAACTATGAGTGTATATTTTTAAAACATGATAGTGTGGATAATAACTCTTACCTATGCTGTGGAGTGCTAGATTATAAAGACCCCCAGTATTTTCATACAGTATTTTCACAGGCATCTAACCACAGCACCTTTGTCACAGTTTTCAGTAATGGCTACAAATCTGTATTTTACCCCTTGAAACAAACAGCTGACTGAAGGCTGGCATTGCTGAAGGGCTCCAGAATGTTTGAAACAATAGAACGTGCATTCAGCACCACCTACAAGGCTTGAAACTACTGCTGCCCTTACACAGCTGAGGATGGTCCTCCCAGAGCTGAGCCTGGTATGAAAAAGGCACTGCACACACACTGATCACTTGTATTAATAAAAACCAAACAGCAAAAATCTACTTCACAACACAGGATGGCATAAAAATACACAGAAATTGCACTTGTTTGTAAAAGGTTTTTATGAGCGGCCATTAGTTTGTGTTGTGTTAGTGCTCAGCGAGGGTAGATGCTTTTTCTCAGCTACTTAATTCCACTTTTCTGTATTTTTAAATTTTGTTTAATTTTGTTGTTTTGTTTTAAAACCAATAAAGTTTTTTAAATGACTGAATAGCGAGTTATTGTGAGGTGTTCCAGAATATTGCGCTAATTATGAGTGTTATTAGAAACTGAAAATCTCTGGGAAGGAGGCCATTCAGCTCCTCCCATCATTGCACATTTGGCTGCTAGTAGCTTAGCGATTTAGGAATTTAATCAAGATTGCTGAGATCCAGCAGGACGATGCTTGCAAGCTCAGCGCCAGGCAGCAAGTCACTCGTTTTTCCCTGTCGAGAAAGCCTTACAGCCCTTCATTACTTTTCTATAGTCACAAGTAATGGGTTTATTCCATGCTGAAAAGAGAAGAAAGAAAACACAACGTTTCATCCATTGAGCCTTCTTCAGCCTTCACCAAGGCAACACGGCCGAAACATGTTTTCTTTCTTCTTTTCAGCATGGAATAAACCTATTGTTCCTTTGCAGCCTACACATGCTACCCACCTTTTTATAGTCAGTTCACACACACAACTAAAAATAGCGTTTACGTATTTTGGCAGCTTTGCTGTAAGGAGGAGGCTGCCCTGACCCCCAAAAGAAGGCACCTGTAGGAGCCACGTATGCTGCAGATGCCATAACGCAGGTTGGTGAATATATGGAATAGGTACAGTACCACTTGCTGACGTGTGCTGGTGTGCAGTATATTTTCTTGTTTTTCTTGGTTTCCAGCTATGCCATATGCATGAGTTATAGTTTGTCAAGTAATACAGTGCCAGTTACCATGAAGCTACAGTACCTGTGTGGAAGTATGTGGAGTGGTGGGCAGCAGAATTGTACGCTGAATCCCCCAATAAGGAGGAATATCAGCAATGTAAGCTAGAGGAATGGGAGGGGGAGGAGTCGAAGGCTGGTACTGGCTACCAGTTGGATGCCAGCGAAGGAAGGGTGAATAGTTTAGGGACCCCCATGGCTGTAGCTGCCTAGAACTGAACATTAGGGACAGTGTGGGGTTGAACAAAGAAACCCAGGTCCAGTGTAAACTATGGCACTCTGTGCTTGATCCCACAGGGCAGAGTGGGTCTCAGCAAGCAGAGGCTCCTGTGGTGGACAGAGAAACAAGAATGGGAGAGAGGATAGAGACAAAAATTACATAAAGTTGTTATAAAAGTTTTTGAACCCTTTGGAATCATCTGCCTTCCTGAATTAATTGCTCCTAAAGTGTGATCTGATCTTCATCTAAGTCATAATAATAGATAAACACAATGATTACCCAAATACCACACAATGGTAGTCTTTCTTGTCTATGTTTAAACACTTTGTTTAAACATTCACTGTTTATCCTGGAAAATGTATGTCAACCTCTAGGTTAATTGGGGTCAGCGATTAGAATCGTTGAGATGACATTCAGGTGTGTGTTTGAGCTGCCCTGCCAACAGTAACAAGTTTGGTTACCAACACTATTGCTCTTCACAACACTGATTTGTCGAAGTGAAACATGCCCCGATCAAAAGAGGTTTCAGAGGACAGGAGAAGAAGAATTGTTGATGCTCATAAGGGTTGAGAGGTTTACAAAAATATTTCTAAAGAAATATTTAGGCCTCCATCAATACACAGTTATGCAGACTGTACAAATGGAAGAAATTCAGTACCATTGCTATGCTCCCACAAGCGTGAGCCATACAATGGTCAAGGAGGTGACAAAGAACCCTAGGTCTATAATCTACCCTAGCTGAGGCTCTGTAGATGTCTCTTGCACTGGCTAATGTCTGTGTTCATGTGTCCTCAATAAGAAAAACACTGAACAAGATTGGGGTGCATGGGAGGATACTACAGCGGAACTCACTGCTCTTAAAAAAAACATTGCTGCCCATCTCAAGTTTTCCAGTGACCACCTGGAATTTCCACACTGCTGCTACAGTATAACAATTTTCTGTGGACAAATTAGACAAAAGTGGAACATTTTGGCAGAAATACACACCATTATGTTTTGGGGGAAAAAAAACACCACTTCATACCAATACAAAAACCTCATCCCAACCATGAAGCATGGTGAAGGGTGATCTGATCTTAATAGAAATTGGTTCATGCAGCATAACAATGATCCTAAACACAGGAGTTCATCTACAGAAGAATGGCTTAAAAAGAGGAAATGCTGCGTTTTGAAATGGCCAAGTCAAAGTCCTGGCCTTAACCCAATTGAAAAACTGTGGCATTAACTGAAGCAAGCTGTTCATGCAAGACATCCCAAAAATATCAATGAACTGAAAAAGTTCTATAAAGAGGAATAGGCCAACAAACCCCAAACCTATGTGTAGGACTGATCAGCCTCTACAGGAAAGAAGAGAGAAGGAGTTGGAAAAACTGCAGCAGGGTAATAATAATAATGATAATAATTGCATATACTTATATAGCGCTTTTCTGGACACTCCACTCAAAGCGCTTTACAGGTAATAAGGACTCCCCTCTACCACCACCAATGTGCAGCATGCACCTGGATGATGCGACAGCAGCCATAGTGCACCAAAACGCTCACCACACATCAGCTATTAGTGGGGAGGAGAGCAGAGTAATGTAGCCAATTAAGGGGGATTATTAGGAGGCTATGATTGGTAAGGGCCAATGGGAAGTTTGGCCAGGACGCCGGGGTTACACCCCTACTCTTTTTGAGAAACGCCTTGAGATTTTAAGTCAGGACCTCAGTTTTACATCTCATCCAAAGGACGGCACCTGTTTACAATATAGTGTCCCCATCACTATACTGGGGCATTAGGACCCACATGGACCGCAGGGTGAGCGCCCCCTGCTGGCCTCACTAACACCTCTTCCAGCAGCAACCATAGGTTTTCCCAGGAGGTCTCCCATCCAGGTACTGACCAGGCTCACACCAGCTTAGCTTCAGTAGGTTGCCAGTTGTGAGTTGCAGGGCGATATGGCTGCTGGCCATAAATCTGGATGCTTGATGACATCAGCAACCCGGAAGAAACACACAAATGGTATGGAGGGAGTAGAGCTGCTGTCTTTGAGTGAAGCCTGAAGAAGGTCTCAAGATCGCCTAATGCAAGACACATGCAATGTTATGAGACACAGAATGTTTGTACAAGAGACTGAGGTAAGTCCCGGGTGTGAAACATACAGTTGAGCAAAAGTGTGAGATTAGGTTTTAACCTTCCTCCTGAATCTCTATTAGAACTATTTTTAGATTTCCATTAAGAGCAGCTGCTCCTCATTCAACAGGTTCTTTCAATCAACAGCTGGCCATCCTGACATCCAAAATCAGCTTTTATTACACCTGGAAAGGAAGTGGGCAGAAAGCACTGAAAGAACTCCCGTTCATGATCATGATGACAATGTGCTTCCACTACAAAACCAAAATTAAACTCAAGAATTTTTTTAAAACGTTTTTTATTTTTTTCTACACCTCATAAAAGAAGCTCATATACAAACAATGTATTCTTACAGAGTCAATTCTTTTCAGGCTGTCTTCAAAGGAACAGCTAACAGGTGTCGAAAAATGATCCAAGTAAAAACATTTAAAATCAGTCACATTCGTAGCAATCTAGAACGGAGATGTCACAGAAATCTATTTTACAGCTTTTTTGTGTTGTATTTTTAAATACCTGCATATAAAACAGCATTAAAATACAATATACTTCTGATTCTCTTTCAAATCCTGATTCAATAGACTACAAGAGGTTTCAGTGATGGACAAAAAAAGAAAGCTTTCTTTCAGCTTAAATGCACTAGAATTTGTAAAAAGGAAAAAATGCTGCTAGCTCTTGTATTATTTACATACCTATAAGTGTTGATCAGAGTGGGCAGAACATCAAACAGCGCTGATGTTCTGAAACTGATGTTCTCAACAGCTGGGCGCCAGTAAGGCAGGGAGTTCCAGCTGTGTGGAAGGTGGAGGCTGGATTGGGGAGAAAGCATCTGTAGTGGGGGGTGGGGGGGGGATCTGAAACCAGATCACCCAACTGTTTGGCTGCTCAACACCTTCACAGCCAAGCAGTGAAGTGAGACTGGCTGTGTCAGGAGGCCTCTCCATTATAGGATTTCACAGCCTCACCCTCTCCGCTGCCAGAATAATCACCGCATAGAAATCACCAAGTTTGAAGACAAAACACTGTCAACACTCTGTGATGAAATGTTTTGTGATCTGCATTGTGCACACAACTCAATGGTCTCACGTTCTCAGGAACAGGGGAAAGGGGCTACAGTGGGCTGTGGCAAGGGATCAGGAGGGCTCAGAACAGCTCTTCAGACTTCCTGCTGGAACCCCACCCCTTGGGTGCTGCACAGTGTTGGGGGCATGGCTCTCTGGCCATTCCAGCACCAGCCACATACCGGAAAGGATAATGAAAATTAAGAATTAACAGCAATAATAACAATAATAGGAATAATAATATTAGCAATAACAATAATATCAGCAGAATTTACACACAGTTTATGGCTCCTCCCTGCACAGAAGTGAAGTGGGAAGTGATGCCCAATAAATACCAGCATTCAGTCAGACCACCTCCAGGGACACGGGGGTCTACTGATTCAGTCTAAAACAATTCCTGCTGGGAGTCTCAGCGCCTCCAAGAAGAAATGTCAGTCTTGCTTAAAACAAGAAATGCACTGCATCTTAAAAGACTGACTCCATTACTTCCATTTTTTTAACAGTTGAAATGTCGCTCGCCCTGTAGATCCAAACAATACAAAGCAGAAAAGGGATGGCTCACATCCTGCAAGAGCAGCAGTGCTGCAGCACTCCCTGAACAAAGCTGAAACAACAGAGATCTGCAAATCGGAGGAGAGCACACCTTGCTGGGAGGCACTCTCAAAGGGCAGGGGAGAGCACTGGGCCCACAAACCCAGGCATCTGCTGCACCCCTGTTCACCCCCCAACAGTTCAGCTTTCACTCTCTTGTTTCAGCAGAAAGATGGGCAACATCTCAGGGTATCTTCAGCCCCATTCCTCATCTAGCTGCAAAACAAGATCAGCAGAACAAGCAGGCTGGAGGATTTGAAACTGGTATCTTGGACAACAGCAGATCGGATATGGTGGCTGTTTCCCTAGCGCAAAAGCACCTGGTGCAGAAACAGGGAGCTGCATATTCTTTGAAGCCGTGGAGTGCTGGCAGAACTGATTTCTCCTACATTTCAGTGCAAATGCACTTTTATGGCTGAAGCTGTTCAATTGTCCTGTAGTACAGCTCTCTCTGCTGGTAGAATGCTAGCATTACAGCTTGGATTTATGTACAGAGTGGGCCTGAGTAGAAAATGGCTTTGCTGTTTGTGAGACAGTACAATACCCGTTCTGAGATTCACACAGATACAGTATTTTACATTCAAATTTCCTTCAAAATGTCTAGTGCTACAAGCCTGTTTTCTATTTTATAAGATCCTTCCATGTGACATTAAAGGTATTCATTGTTTCCATAACATGTAAAAACATTTCTGTAGTTCCCTTTAACCTATAATTCTTTAAATTGTATTGTTTTCAAGGATTTTAAGCTTTGTCTTTTTTGCAGGATAAGATAAAAAAAACAAAGCAAACAGTAACAATAATTCAATTCATGCACAGGGAAAGTAGCAGAGCTTCTAAAACTTTCAAAAATCAATGCAGCCAAGCAGCAGAGTGCACAATAGAATTGTGGAGAACTGTGTTCGGTGTGTGCTTACAGTGATGTTGACTGCTAACAACACTCCTTTCATTGCCTGCCAGTCCCTGCATTGGGTGCACAGTCTTCAGGAGGGGGTGGATTTCTAAACAATAATGTTGCATTTGCAGCTTCGCATTTAAATAACCCAAAATACATTTGTTCTTAATTCACACATTCTCTTCATTTAGAATCAATGTGCACCTTCCTTGAAAGGCAAATCAAGAACAGAAAGACAACCATTTTACATTCTCAAAAATTACATTCAGAGCCTACCTGGACAGCATTAACTTAGCCTCTCCAAAACAATGAACTCATGGCATACCTCATTTAAAACACACTCAGTACGTCTCTAGAAAGGTGGAGGAGCAACCCTGTCAGTGACATTAGAAAAAGATCAAGCAACGTAGCACACAAGTGTTTCACAAATAAGAAGCAAACTGGATGGCGGGGAGAAGGATGAGTACAACTGGAACAATGTCAGTTTAAAACAACAACTTGGAGAGAGAAATGGTAAAAGCATGCCACAGAACAGAGCACATGCACCTCTCGTCCTAGGAGATAGGATCACATTCCAAGGTTAAAACCTGAGGAGTATAAAAAAAACAAGTACAGCTCGTCTTACTACAGCAAAAACCCAGGCTCGTCCCCGAGATCTGAGCACTCCTGTCTTTGTAATCCAGTGCCATTGACTACTTACAGCAGGTACAGAAATCCAGGGAGAAAACTCTGCAGAGAAACAGTTCCACAGCATATCTGACAGCAGTCAGATCCACAAAGCAATTCATGCCCTTTGAGAGCTGCCAATATTGTAAAAAATTGTTCTGGAACAGAGTTTGTGTTCTACAAAGAACGAAATCCACAACACAGAAAGTGATTTGAGGCTTTAAAGCTACCTCCGCCATTGTAATCAAAACACAGAGCAAGAACAGGACATGCCAACTGTACACAGTGTGGATGTGCTTCTACAGGTTATAGATTCAGGGCTCAGCCCTGATGGCCTCCATCATTATCTATTACTTTTCTTGCAGCAGCCATCAGTGTTCATCAGCTCCTTCACAGAAAGTGTTTCAGCAGCAAACAATTGTGCATGACAGTTTTAAAAAAAATCTGTTTGTCTCTGAAGAACCTATGACAGTCCAGACTACAGTGAAATAAATCCAATGAACCTGGCCATTATTTTAAAGTTAACAACAGTTCAAAGACATACGGACTTACAAGCATGTTTCATCCAATTAAAAACCAAACTCATTCAGAAGCACAGGCAGGAGGGACAAGCCAATGAAGGAAATACGATTAAAAATGTCAAAAGTGAGACCTAGGTGTGAACCAGGCCTAATATTGGTTCACATCAGCATAGTTCAAGCCTGCACATCCAGTACCAGCGTATCTTCTCTCGATGGCTTCTTTCCCCAAGGTCTCTGCTCTCCCCACTCCAATCTGTTTCACACACTCCACTGTTGCCCACTTCCTCTGTCCCTCACATGATCTCCACTGCATTCCTATTGGCTAAGGAGACTGGGGAGATGAGAGAGGCCCCATTGCTGGTATCCTGTCTCTCCCTTCCCCCCTATGAAGAAAACCTTACTGGGGAGAATGCCATCCTTGCGCCATGCCCCTCCCTGGCCTCACTGTTTCACTGCCTGCCGGTAACTGTGTCTCTGGCCTTGACCCTCGCTGCGCTTGCCCTTGGAGCCACTCTGCTGGCTGGTCTCCTGCTGCAGCGTGGGGCTGGAATGCGCACGCTGGAGCCCGTTGTCATCAAAGAGTCGCGACTCGAATGCTGCCAGGTCCTCCTCCCCACAGCGCATCTTGGCACGCAGTAACATGGCATAGGTCCCATAGCGTGTTTTCTGCCCAGAGAGAAACGGATTGATGAAAAGACACAGAGGGAGGCAGATGGAGAGGACAGGGGATGAGGCCACAGAAATAGAATATAGTCAAGCTGTAAAACCTTTATCTCAAGGATCTTTGTTCTACTGCAATCTGCTCTCATTTCACATATTACAGCTACTCTTTCCTTGGAAAGTCACAATAAATCACTCCTTCAAGCTGATAGCCGTAAGGAGCCCTGTCGCATTAATAAGAGACAGTGAAATAACAGGCCACAACACCTGGCATTAACTTACTCAAGCACAACTGTACCTGCTAGACTGGTCTTGTGTACCCTGCTGGGCCTGATGCGGAATCTTATAAAGCTATCTGATTTTGGACTCCTTTTCAGCCAGCTGGGTTCGATAGTGAAAGATGATGCATTTTATCCTATCCTTCATCCTATAAACTGTGCTCTCACCTCAAATTCCAGATATTCATCCCTCTGGCGATACTCCTCCAGCTCACGACCTTTTACCTTGCGGTCAGGAGCATTGGAGCGCAGCTCGGCTAACTCAGAGGAGGTGGCACGAAAACGAGCCTCATGGGACTGGACCTGCTCCTCCTGCAGGGACATAGACACAGTCCAACAGAGCTATGTTTAGCTTATCTTTATAATTATGGAATTTCCGCTCCTTACCAGAATGTTGTTCTGGGGAAATGGACATTGCTATTGGTGCACATTGCAATGTTGCACTAATAGCATGCACAGAGCATTAGTCATTGACAAGAAGTGAATTACACCTCAGAGACAGGCTGCTACATATTATTTGGAAGTGGTGTTTGAAATAAGGGGCTGAAACTGTACGAAACGTGTGGCAATAAGAAGAGTGTGAGATCAATATTTTTCTTTAATTGCACTGGTGTTCCAAATGCCTCAGACTATGTGTTCCCACATATTGAACACTTGTAACAAGCTAACATTTTGAATAGGTTTGTTTTCATTGTGCCTTTTAACAAAGCAGCACCCCTTGAATGTCAATGTGCAGGCAGTGTGTTTTTCTTCACTCTGAGTATATATTATTGGGTCGAGATGCAAAGGCATTCGCCTGAGGGCTGGTTGATCCACGAGTTTGAGGCTCGTCAGGTCACTAGCCGACTGTGACTAGGATTCCCCCAGTAGCTGGGCACAATTGTCTTAGCATTGCCAATATTAGGATTAGGATCTCAACACTCAGAGACACAGTGCCCCCCGTGTCCTTCCAGTGCTTGCAGTCATGCAGTGCTATGGTGCCTCTCCTCCAATCAGTGCTGATCCTCCGGTATGAGGCCTGTGCTATGAGCCCTATCCCAAGGAGGGTGGGACAGTGAGTCTGTACATAAGAACTGTTGTTGTCCTAGTGAATCCCAGACTGCCCAAAACAGAGGTTACATTGAATGGAGGACTGCTGGAGCTCTTCATAACACCTCTGAGGAGCAAGTCTACCTGCAAGCTGTGCACCACCTTTCTGGGCTGTTAGGAGAACCTCCTTACAGCCCCTCTGGCACAGAAGCTGTGACTTTCTCTTCTAAGTCGCATTTTGAGCTGGACACATTTTTGGGCACTTTTTTAAACTTTGTTAGTATTGGTAAAATTAATAAAACTGCTTTAGTGCATGCCAGAAAACAAATGCAACTGAAAACAAATGTCAAGTAGTTGGTTTGGGTGAGATGCTGAATTTTATTGAAGCTGAAGGCAGATTGAAACCTGACCTTCAACCCAATTTGGCAATGACAAGCTACTTGATAGTGGCATTTGGGTTACCAAAAGATTGTAATTGGCAGAAAGGTGAAAAAATTGTCAGAACCCTGGCCCGTGCCTGAGGAGCATCAGCTCCTGCCATTCATCTCACTGCACAATGTATCTTACTATTGGCAGACTCCTACAGTCTACAGTAACACTAACCTGGTTTTCAGATGTCTTTTACAGAGCCCTGGCAACACTGTTTTTCTATTGGGAATGTTTTGTGAAGTCATTAACACATACAAAAACAGCATGACCTGATGTCATGCAGAAAGGGCTGGCGAGCAATTTTAACTTCAGTAGAGCTACTGTACTGTATATAACAGTGTCATAAACATTATACATACCTGTATATATACTATACAAGATTGCACCATGCATACAAACCGTATCAATTAATAAAATGTCATATAAACATGCCAGGGTCACCTGTGACAGCTTGGTGGCAGTGGCTGGCAGCAGCGGGCGGCTGAACTTCTTCTGCGAGCCGATGGCCGCTGGGAAGGGGGGTGAGGAGAACATGGCTGCCACCGTGTTGATACGCGTGATCCAGGACTGCATCTGCTCTGCGTTCCTGCAGGAGGAGGACATGACACAAGAGCCTGAATGCCAAGCAAATTCAAAAACATGCCAAAACACACCAAGCTGCTCTGGAATCAAATCCCAGGTGAGACAAAGCTGTTGTTCAGTTAAGCAGGGCCCTTCACTCAGATTGTGCCAGTAAAATACCCAGATGTGTAAATGTAAGGTGCTTTGCTTAAAAACATCAGTTATAACTGTAAATGTATAAATGTAAATGTAAAAATCACAGAATTAGGCATCTTGGCCTTTTGAATTTTACAGATATGCCACTGGGAGTTAATATCATGAGCTCACCAGGGCTGTTGGACATAAAAAGACTTGAATTTTAAAAGATTTAAACCATTTTATACAAACAATAATGGAGAATGATGGAATAGGAATTTTACTACTGATCCTACCCTAGAGCTGATTGCACAACAGCACTAATACATCTTTTTCTCTCCTGTAATGCTGAGTGACAATGCACTCAGCAGATGCTTTTCCAGAATCTGTAGAGAAGAGTGTAATCATATCATGGGGTCTTGGTGACAGACCCGCATGTTCTTGCTTTTTAAATGTACTTTTTAATGTGCTGGAATGTTTCTGTATAAACATTCCAGTTTTTTGGAATTGAGTGAACAGCTTACTCTTACAAAATGCAATCCCACATCATGACAGTATAGGGATCATAGTGTATCATTACCATGATGGAAATGTAATTAATTTTTACAGCAGTGTCTTTTTCAGGCAATATTCAACCCCATAAGACTGAATTTTAGTGGACAAAATAAGCGAATGAATGCTTTCATGTAGATAGCACTTTCCATGAGCCAATGTAGTAATTTTATTTTCTCAGCTCCGGATCCAGATTGTAGCAGTGCACTGTTTTTAAAAACAGTCCCAGTTATGTTCTGCAGGTGTGGACCACAGCCATTTATACAGCACCCCTGGAGCAGCTGGAGTTAAAGGCCTTGCTCAGGGGCCCATTGGAGTAGGATTCCTCCACCAGTTGTGGGATTTGAACTGGCATCCTTCCAGCCACAAGCGCAGATCCTTAGCCACAGAGCCACCGCTCCGCCCCCAGGTCCTGTCTTTGTGGGTCCTAATGCCCCAGTATAGTGATGTCCTATGGATGAGCTGTAAAACCAAGGTCCTGTCTCTCTGTGGTCATTAAAAAATCCCAGAGTGTTTCTCAAAAAGAGTGGGATGTTACCCCGGCATCAATTGGCCTTTACCAACCATGGCCTCATAATAATCCCCACCTATGAACTGGCTTCATCACTCTGTTCTCCTCCCCACTAATAGCTGATGTGTGGTGAGCGTTCTGGTGCACTATAGCTGTCGTCGCATCATCCAGGTGTGGCTACACTTTGGTGATAGTGGAGGGGATCCCCATTACCTGTAAAGCACTTTGAGTGGAGTGTCCAGAAAAGTGCTATAGAAGTGTAAGCAATTGTTATTATTATTATGAGGGACCTCCCAAAACCGGAAGATACCAAAAAGATACTACGTAGGTATCTTCTGCTGAGTGTGAATACATAGAAAAGTGCTTATCTCTCTCTGTATCTCCTCTCTCCCCTTTCTGTTGTGCCCATTGCCTCTTCTTCTTTGACTTCCTGTGAACGTCAGGACTGCAGTTTCTCTCCTTCCACACACTCCTCCATGGCTCTTCAAACCTCCTATTGTTTCACTCCTACTGACAATAATGTCTGTTGATAAACACCATCATCCCCAGCAGGTGGCACTCTTGCAGGCTCCTGATTAGTGATCTGTGTCCGACCTGTTTTTCTACACACATAAGCTACAGTATAATGCCACCACAAAAATAACTACCAAATAGTATCAGGCACCAGTTGAACCTGGCTGTTAGTTCTTATTATCAAGTGCCTCTGAGAGAAAGAGTCTTAATATTTTAAAAACAAATCAGATACAACCATTCTAGGTGTCAACAGGACAGCCAAATAAAGTTCAGGCTGGAAAGTATGTAAGAGCACAGCATGCTAGTTACTTCAGTTCACTGCATTGTTTCTTAGTAAGAGAACCAATGGGGCTCTGTCTTTATCTTACACAAGTTTTATGATGTCTTATTCATCTGCCTGTTTTAAAGATTATATCAGAACATGAGTTCATAGACTGTGTTTCTTTATATCTTGAGCTCAAAGCATATGTATATTTCTCAGCAGAAGTACAGGAACAAGTGTGAAGTAGTGCCACTAATTGCTTAACAGCCCTTGAGATTTCAGGGTAGCTGGAGAGCCATAACAGACTTCACCCAAACACGGGAACTTGGTGGGGCTGGGGACTCACTGTGCCTGAAAAAGGAAGACCCTCCAGTCAGCCGTGCGCAAGTAGAAGACATTGGGCCTCTTGCTGTAGTCAGCTGCTCGCATGGCCAGAGAGTGGTGGATGGACACAGCGTTCTTCAGGTCCTCATCAGACAGCTGCTTTTCTGGCCTGTACTCCCCCTGGACAACAAGAGAAAAAGGGGCAAGTACGATACAGTATGTCAACACAGAATTATAATCTAGTTTGAAAAAGGAAAAAAAGATTTTGAGAATAATCTAAAGAGGGGTTTACTGGATTTGATACTGAAGTTTGCAGGAGGACATGTTTTGCACTGGAGAGGGCTGCTTTGAAGGTTGTTTGATAGGCAGTTTGAATCGCTATGAGCTGGTGGGCTACACACTAGAGGTCAGCAGAGAACCATTCTCTGACATAGTAGAGGCATCATTTGGATAACTTGTTGTATTGTCTAAACTCGCCTGGCTGAGTAACCAATAACCTGACCAAAAGTCAGAGGCAGATGGACCCAGGGGATGAGCCGGGGGCTGCTGTAAGGGTGATGCTCCACTGGGTCATTTCGGAACCGACATGTCTAGAATTGCGAGCGGACATGTGCGAGGATCAAACCTCTTTTTCAAACTCCAGAATATTGTGAACATGTCTCACATCACACGTGTCTTCACATTTCTCCAAGTCTGTTACAGAACAGTTACTGCAGTTGATTTCCTCTCGATTTTTTTCATTGGGCAAGTATGCTTTTTAATTAATACTGTACTGTATGTCCCGTAATCTGACAAAACTCTATGTTCAGGAGCTTCAGCCAGCCACAGGTGTTTAAAACAAAGAGCTGCTACTTTGTCCATCAGGAGGTAATCCTGAATCTTCCCTGGACAAAATGTAGAGTAAGTTGTACATACCGACCTATTTAAAAAGATTTATGTGCAGCTATTAATATATTTTTTCACAATATTGATGAGGGGAGCAAATGGACCAGTGAGATCACATCATTGTCAGTTCTACAGTGTATTGTGAATTTTATTTCTTCATTCAGCATTGTAACACAGTTAACAGTGATTGTTTTTTTCAGATTTGGCTAACTGTATCCATCAACTCGCTGTCTTTTATATCATCCACCCTGCATGAGCCCTTTATCCTGAGAGGGTTCCAATGAGGCAGAGCCCAGCCCACCAGGCACAAAGCACAAGGCTGAACTGTAGCCAGGGTAGGACACCAGTCCATCGCCCATCCATGTAGTTACTCATACACACATACAGGTGGATAGCTGCATCAGCATGCATATTCTGCAAAGGAACAAGTAATAGGTTTATTCTATGCTGTAAAGAGAAGAGAGAAAACACAACTTTTCGGGTGTGAAGCCTCTTCAGGTGTGAGAAGGCTTTGCAGCTGTAACGTTGTGTTTTCTCTCTTCTTTCAGCATGGAATGCACATACAGGGCCCATTTACAGATGACCCTGGACAGCATGTTGTTGGGCAGTGGGAGGAAGTAGGCACACCTAGAGAAATCCGTTGTGGACTCGGAAATTACACATAAGCTTAATACAGTCCTGTATTGTACATCTAATCATATTGTTATAAACCAACTTTCAATTTAATTTGACACAATTACAGAAGGGGAGTGCAGACACAGAGTTGCAAAGGAACACAAACAGTTTAGAGATCAGTAATCCTCTCAAACTCATTCAGACAGGCCACTGTACCTTCTGTAAGTAGAGAATCAGCCCCTTCAGGACAGCATAGAACGTCTTCCAGCCTCTCTTTCCACGTGGAGCTGAGGACACCAGCACACACGGTCAGGGTGAGTAGCTGGTGATTACCTTTGTAGATAGACCTAATGATGTGACCTAATGATAAAAGGTCTGTGGTGTTGCTGAAGGGTGGAGTGGGTGTGGGGTGTAGGGTATGGGTGAGGGTGAGAAGGGGGCAGGGCGCAGAATGGGTGAGAGTAAGGATGAGGGTGAGGATGAGAAATGTTGCCCCAGGTGTGAGGAGGGATAAGGCTGGGGAGTATTGTTCCTGGGTGAGACGTGAGCAATGATGAGGGTGTGTTTAATTGCCAACCGAGGCAACGTACTTCTCTTGCCATCAGGGTCAGCATGAACTTTGCGCACCAGGAAGCCGTTCTTGTAAACGAGTGCCCCTGGCTGCTGGGCCACACCCAGGAAGGGGTTCCCACAGCTGGGGACTCGCTTCATGGTGCGAGAGGAGGAGTCAGTGCGGCCGTCCGCCAACTCTGAGAATGACTTGCGCAGCTCCTCCTCATCACTGTGGAGAAAGAACATCGCACACCTCTGTGACTCCTGTGTCTTACCTGTCTGATTACTGCTCTATTACTGAAATGTAAGTAATGATATTGCCTTCTTAAAAAAAATGTTAGACACTTTGCAGATTGGCATATTTATAAAACACGTAATAAAAAACAGAGAATATTTAGTAAAAGTGACACAAGATTTGAAAACAAAAGAGGAAGCACACCATTTAGTCTTTTAGTAGTGTATAAATAAAATATTTGAGGGTCAATGCTGAATAAGTTAAATTAAATAGCCCCTGATTAATTATGAAATCAATGCAGCAATAAGTAAATCCAGATTTTAAAGGTTTCTTTGATGTTCTGGGTAGAATCCCTTACCCTGCTGTGGTCCTACTTCCACAGGCCCATACCACAAGTAACTCTCGTCACAATGGACAACCAAAAGGAAGGGACCTCAAAGAAGGTGTATTCCAGCATTCACATCATACACATACTGTACATCACAGGATAACAGGAAAAGCGACACAAGAGAAAGCCATTCTGCTATCTTGTTTGTTTGACTTTCACTCTCATAAAAAGCAAAGGAACAAGTTAAGTTTCATTCCATGCTGAAAAGGAACACAACATTTTCTTTTTTTTCTGCATAGAATAAACATTTACCTGTTCCTTTTGTAGCTTATGTATGTTAACGTAGTCACCTACTCATAAAATGTCTTCCAGCTGCTTTTGAAGGAGCCCATAGCAGAGCTTGGACCTTTAACCACTTGGCTAGGAAATTTGTTCTAGATACCCTCACCTCTTTGTGTAAAGATGTGTTTTGTGTTTCCATACTAAATTAATTATCTTTCAATTTTCAATTGTCACTCAATTGCTTGTTTTGCTGCTGAACCTGAAGGAGTCATCTAACCTTATTAAATCTATACCACTTAGGAATTTACATGCTTGAGCTAGTTCTTGCTGTTCATTGAATTCTTTCCATGGATATAATACATTTTCTGTAGTATAGTGACCAAAACTGACAATACTTTAAATGAGGTTTTACTAGTGCATTATGAACCTAGAATAACTTCCCTGGATTTCTATTCCACACTTTTTCTGTATACGCAACCATTACATTCTCTTTTTATTTTATTTCTGAATGCTTGATGAAGACATAGAATGTTCAGACTTCTCAGCTAACCTGATAAACAGCTCCGAGGAAGAAAGCAATCTTGCCCTTCCCATGAAGATGAGGGCTAGTGCTCAGCCACAGCCCAGCAGGGGGAAGAAGGAGGCAGAGGAGTTTGTCAGGTTTGAAGGGACTGTCTTATCAAACCAAATGCAGTGACATTCTTCGTGGCTTGTCTGTATTAGAACTGTGGACTTACATCAGATCAGAGCCTTTTATCTTCTTGCTGTGTGAGGTAACCCTGAGCAGAGACTGAGCTGTGGTTGCATAGTGTGGAGATTGTCTTTGGGAACTATTACTTTAATCTTATTAACTTTAGCTTTCTTCTGTAATTGTTAATTCATTTTGAGTGACACTTAACTATTTCGGATTTGTACTTGAATTATTTGTTGTTTCCCTCCTTGGGGGATTTTTTCGCACTATTGAAAGAGGTATGGCTCTTCCATGGTGAGACTGGAGAGAGGCTCTGAACTGGGAGAACAGCTCAGCCGTTTTTTAGCTTTGAAACTTCACAGCAACAGTCCCTTAACAAATATTCCTACACTTAGACTGACACAAGGGACACTGCTGTCAGATCAGACACAGATGAAGTTAACATTTTGCTTTCTCTGTTGTGGATTATAAAGTTCAGACATTTCCTGTGATTGAAGAAATCAGATAGTGTCCTAACTTTTCGTTGGTCTCCAAAAGAGATGCCTGTACTAGGGATACCAAAATTCCCGTCAGAGCTAAAGGGAAACGTTAGGCCATGACAAAGGGTTAATTACACCCTCCTTCAACTTTACTTGAGGACCAGGACTTTCTTAAGACTCTTCATATTTAATTAATGTATGTCACAACTTAGAGAAATTATTTTTGGAGGGGCATTACACATTATTTCCAGATTATTGAAAAACTATGAGAACCCTACACTTTACACAAGCTATTACACAATATGTTTGACTTACTGTGAGGCCAAGCTGTGTGCCAAGGTGCTCTCATGTCAGCTGAAGGCCTACATGTATATGACCAAACAGGTTTATTAAAAGGATAATATATAATGGTAATGTACCAGTTGTTCAGTGATGGTTAACAGGTATCAAGTGCTCTTCACTATTCTTGTGTGTAGACTTTCCATTCCTCATCTTTCTTTTAATCTCTCCTTTTATCTGCTATTTTCTCTTTGACTTATCAGGGTATAAAATTAATTGATTTTATAAAAGTCCTCATGACTATAATTAGATTTTGCAATGGAGAAAGCTGGGCCAGCTTCAGTTATTTACTAGTTTAAATATGTTAGTAATGAAATTTACTTCTCGTTTTTCACTGTCAGTGCAAACCATTTGAATCTGACTTTTGAACAGGTAGGTATGACCTGAACTGATGGACTCATTTCCCAGTTCTCTTTAGGTTTGTGTCGCCGTAATAAGAAATAAAAGTATTTCCTCACTGGAGTTTTCAGTTCTTAAGATATTGGGATTGCTTGTGTTCTAAGATTTCCAAATTCATAAGGAAAGGGAAGTGACTATGTGTTGAATGTGTGTGTAGGCATCGAGCAATGTGAAACATCTACAGAGGATGTCGTTCTACCAAATTTTAAATTTTATTGTAAAAGACATGGTTATGATAAGTAGTCAGAACTTTGATTTACTATCTTGTGTGAAGGACGGCACTGTCTGCAGTACAGGGTCACCATACTGGGGCACTGGTTTAGCAGCTTTTTTCCAAAAGGAAGAATGCTGTCTTACAGAAGTAACCTGGCTGTCTTTGTGCTAGGAGAACTGATTAGATCAGGTTACAGACAGTAACACTGCTATTTGTTTTAAAACAGTAAATCTCTGCACTGTTGTTAATTGTGTGCTTCTGTGCATTTTTTATGCTCTCCTGGGCATGCATTCATGAGTCTTTTTCCCCCTGACTTATTGCATATGTACGTAGGCATATTTATTCAGAGCACCTAGTATGGTTCCTGTTCTGACTATGTTTTTGATTGTAGAGCGTGTGTGTAGGGAGCGGTTTTACTGAGTGTGTTTAGTGTGACTTCAGTCTGCAGTCATAATTACAGGGAAAAGCAAGTGGGGAACTGTAGCTATGGCAACAAAACATGGCACGCTGGGGTCTTAATTAGCAGCTCTGCACATCACAGCATTGGGTCCAGAATAGAAACCCTAAAACATAGAAATACAAATGCCCAGATTCACACAATAACAACTACAAAATATCACTGACACACAAATCCCCCACACACCTACACAGTCACGTATCCTCTCACATAAGAGCCCAGGAATGCTGTGTTCTTTGTGAGCAGCAGAAAGAGAATGGAGCCACAGCACTGAATTCAGTGACCCTGGGATCTGACAGCCCTGTTACTGTTGTCTTGAGAGATGGATGAAAATTCTGGAGTCTTGGACATGGAGCCAGGAGTGCTTCCAGGAGACCCCAGACGTGTGCAGGCTACTGATTTAGAGACCAGCCCCCTCTCCATCTCAGGCCACACTTGTCATGATCATAATCCCTCCTCTTAAGGGTGCTCCGGCTCTTTCACATGTTGTTGATTCTGCGAACCTGCCTTCAATCCTGCCCCTCCTTATTTAAGCCGGATGCGCTCGCTACTCCCAGCTCTGCATTGGAAGATGGATGCCCAGAGGCCCGCCTACCATCAAGTCGCCCTACTTCCCTGGCTTGAGGGCATAGGCCTCCAATTGGCATCCTGACCCAGCTGAGTCCAGGGCTCAGAGCGCCTGGCCTCGTCATCCCGTTTTTATTCCCTGTCCCTGCACTTGATCCCATTCCGGTTTTTAACTTCGTCTTGTTTGTTGCGGATGGATCTACCGGATTTGGACCTTGGACTTTGCCCCGGATTTCCCCTTGGACTTGTTTGCTATGGCCATGCCCCCCAAGCACCAGTTCACCATGGTCATGCCCCCCTGTTCGTCAACCAGTCCTGATCCTTGTCTCCTCCCCATTGTCCTTTTCCGCTTACTTCTAGATTATACTGTCTGCATGGGGTCCTGAACTACGCAGCATAACACCACTGGTCACTGACAGAGCAACCTCAAAAATCAAAGACCGAGATAATACATCCAGCTTCTGCTCAGGGCTGAATGGCAATTGAAAATTACCACCTTATCTTCAAAATATCTTTTTTTAGGTTAGTTGCCAAGCATACATTTTTGACAACACCAACCCTTATATCTTGGCAAATATCATACCTTGATTACGGATCTCAAGAAAAAAATATTATAATGCAATGTCTTTTTAGAGCTTTTCAGAAACATTAAAAAACAAAATCAGAATCAAAAGTAGCCTCATTCTGAGAACAATCTCAAGTAAACATCATGTCACCATTCGAAAATTATCTTAAATCTGCAGTCTCTCTCTCTCTGCCTTGCTGTCTGTTCCTGCCATTTTAAAATAAGCAACCTTGAGTTGAAAACGAATGTCTTGGGTACTGTACATTGTAGGCATACAGTGCATTAAACACTACTTTGTCTGTTCTCTTTAAGTAGATTTTTTCTCCTAAACCGAGCTGCTGAAGAACTGTGCTAATAACCGGGCACTTCAGCCTCTGTGACTAATCCCACCTGTCACACAGTGCAGTGATCGTGGGTGTGCAGGGCTGAGCTACTGGCCTTCACCCAGCTCTCTCTCACCACTGCACACAGGGTCTCTCCAACAGAGTTCTGCAGATTCAACCACTGTCTCCAACCATCCTTCCCACCTCATCAGGTGCCTGTCCTTGAAGCTATCGACAGGTTAGTCATACCTTGCCTAACTAGCAATGACTCCCTATAGAAAGGAGTGCCAAAATATTTTTGAGACATGGCTTAAGTATCTTAGAAAACCAAAACATTATAGACATTTTTAACAATCATTTTAAACTGCCACATTTTCCTCGTCCACCAGAACTAGCTCTATTTTATTCCTGTGCATCCTCATATCTAGGAAGGGCTGAGGGAACATTACTTAAACAGGACTACAATCCACAACTTTAATTTATGTTAAGTCTTTAGAAAGACAGGAAATAAAAAAAGAAAAGAAGTTCTCCAGTCACAAGCTAGCCCACAAGGAGAGATGAGGAGTAAGGCACTTACATGGTCCACTGCAGCTTTTCATTCTTGATGGAGTTGTACAGGGCCTACAAGAAAGAAAAACACAATAAGCCTGTGCACACTGACTCCAAGCACAGGGCTCCCCTGCTTGTCAGGGGACACACTACAGAGTGGCTTTATTTCCTTCTGGTTGTACCAGTTTGGAACATCACACTTCAGGACATCTCAGTTATTGATATCAGGCTGCATGACAACTGGACGAACTGTAAAGGTGATATAGAAAAGGAGTACAATAAATTTCAAGCACAGATAAAAAAGGATATCAGAAAAGCCAAGGGTGCCAGGAAAGGAATATAACAATGGAGGCTGAAATAAGTAATAAAAAGTTCTTAATAAAATGCTCTTTTAGTTGTACAACAACAAAAGATCAATAAAGGGTAAAGTAAAATGCATCCAGAATAATAATGGAAAATTTAGACAATGAAAACGAGTATTTCTATCAGGTGTTCACTGAGTAAGAAGTCCACAACAGGCCTCAGACAGAGTTCTGTTTTGGACATTATCAGCACAGAAGAGATACAGCTTCAGGTAGTAGAAGCACTCAAGATTAATACATCCCCTGGCCTGGCCTGGTATCTTACCAACTGTACTGAAGGCAACAAAACATTTTTCAGAAACCATTGATGCAGCTCTTCCAACAGTTGCTCAAGACATAAACAGGGACTGGGGACTTACTGCAGTCTGACTTCAATTACAGTACGTCAAATTAGAGAAACAATCATTAGAATTAAATGAGACGATCAACTTTATGGAAATAATATCATTGACAATAGTGAATTCTTAGTCTGGCTCTAAAAAAGGAAGGTCTTGCTTAATTAACTTGTTAGAGTTCATTGAAAATCAAAAAGCAATGCTTTTTGCAAGAGGACATGACATGGTGTATTTAAATTTTCAAGAACATTTTTAGTTAATTTCCCTAATAAAACATTAATTCTTAAGTTACAGGTAGTAGGTATTGGGAAATGAGTCTGTTTGGACTGAGAATTGGTTAATGGCTAGTAAGCAAAGTGGACAGATAAGGAGTGAGTGCTCAAAATGGGTTATGCCATTAGCCAACTACCACATTGATCTGTACAAGAGCCTCGGTTCTTTCTTATTTATATCATATACATGGATATAGTATATATATAGTTTTAGTATAAAAACTAGGTATATTTGCAGATTATACCAAAATCCAAATGCCGCAGCAAGCAGCAAGCAGAATTCAAAAAGCTAAATTAGATCAAATGCAAGACTTTATTACTTTGCAGATTATCTTTAATGTAAATGCAAATTATTACATGCAGGTAAAAAAAAACCAGACAAAATGGAAAGGCTTTTCTGATATAAGTATTCAAAATCCTCAAAGGCACTGACAAAAAAATCACAGCCTAAAACACAAACCAGCAAATAGAAACTGAAACCAAGGTGAAGTGCATTGAAACCTGAGAAGAGAGACTTCTTTATACAAAGGGTGGTGGCAGTATGGAACAATTCATGTTGTTGAAACTGATAGCTTGACATTTACAAGAAATGAATGGATGAAATTGCTGGACCAATTGACTGATAACTACCGAATGGGCTCCTCTCCTTTGTAATATTTCATTACCTTTTTAATTTTATGTATACTGTATACTGTATTTCATTCTATTTCACTTCCAGTGTCAGGTGTTGGCTTACATAAGCCTACAATTGCTGTCACCACATAGGAATAAAACTCTGCATGTAGAGAGAGACGCCGGTTCTTAGAGCTTGTTGTGCACAGATAGGAACCCTGTAGCTATCCTGCAGATTTCTACTGTACTGAGACTTGTGCAAGGCAGCATTAATATCAGAACAAGGAACAAGTAATAGGTTTATTCCATGCTGAAAAAAAGGTGCACACCTGAAGAAGGCTCCACGGCCGAAACGTTGTGTTCTCTTTCTCCTTTTTTTCAGCATGGAATAAACCTATTACTTGTTCCTTGTTCTGATATTAATGTTGCCTTGCACAAGTCTCAGTACAGTAGAAATCTGCAGGATCTGCAGGATCTGCAGGTGTGCACACCTGAAGAAGGCTCCATGGCCGAAACGTTGTGTTCTCTTTCTCCTTTTTTTCAGCATGGAATAAACCTATTACTTGTTCCTTTGCAGCCTACGCATGCTGACGCAGCTACCCACCTGAATATCAGAATACAAAAAAGGAGGAAGATCTACTTCAGGCGGAATTCAAAAAGAAGAAATATATTTGAACCACCAAAATAAAAGTATTAGTATTTAAAGCAGATTTGCTCCTGAGTTCAAATCAGCTTTTTCAAGGAAAGGTACAAAATGACAGTTAGGTAAAGACCCTTAGTCTACAGTAAACTAAAGATGCGCTATGACACACCACTGTTACTGGAGTCTGCTTTGGCAGCTTTGGGTCATAAATATGGTGCCAGTCGTCACACTCCTATGGTGCCAACTGAGGGACTTGTGAAATTTAAATGTGATAATTCAACGCAGACAGGAATCCAGGATTACTTCAGTATTGTGAATTTAAAGTCTATATAAAAGAACTCCATTATTGATCCATTTCAGATTCTGGGAGCTGCAGGCTCACTCCAGCATATGTGTCACTATTTAAAACTGTATATTTCACATCTGTGTGACAATTTAGTACCACAGTAGTATGAAACATGAAATCTACAGCTTCAAAATACAAGACCCTGGTAAAGCCAGGAATGTGTAAAAGTGCTGCACAATGGCAGTGAGCTTCCCTGATGTGCCCAGTGTATAAGTCCTGAATGTTGTGAACTGAAATATGAAATATAGAGCAACTCACGAAGTGAAGAGCCAAAAAGATTAGCGACTTTGAAGAATGGCCTGGTGTCAATTTCCCAGCAGGGACTTTGTTAATGACGATGTCTGTGAAGGGAAAATGGCAGTGTCTGGTCAAAGAGCTCAGAATGTGTCAGTGCTGCTTGTGATGCAATATGAAAGAGTGCGTCACTGATCCAAGGCAGCCTGAGTGTGAGTGTTTCTATAGACCACATACTCCTTCTCAACCACTTCTCCAGGGCAGTCCTGTCCAGTTTGTGCAGATCTCTCAGTACAGATGAAATGGGTGCAATGGTCACTAACTCTGCCACTTTGAGAACAAAGACCTCGACCTAAGCTCAACCCCTGGAAAACTGACTTCCCAAAGGCCATGGCAGGAATAGGAATTACTCATACATGCTAAATTTCCATTTCACCCTCTCATCTCTCTTCATACCAGCTTAATGCTTCAAAGTGCAAGGAATTGCAGGATCACCAAGTAATGGCAGTCTGTTGTCTCCTGAGACAGAAAAGCACAATAATATTTCACATAGTTCAACTGCTACAGCTTCTCATTGCCTTTTAGGGAGAGTCATATTTTTTACAGATGCTCTCCTGACAATGCCAGTTCCTAGTATATTGGGATATTGGGTAAATTCTGCACACAAATATAAGAAGAATTAAACAATCGGAAAGATGAAAGAGGGTGAGACTGTCAGAAGCACAGTAGTCTCCCCTTCCCCCACCTTGAATCCAAAGCCCTGAGTCTCTGCAGTTTCCTGAAAAGTATAAAAGAGCTGTTGGCTTTGTCTAATGAATGACCACTGTGGCAGAGACAGTCACACAGTACAATTAAATATATGATCTGCATGAAGTGAGAAGGGTTGCTGAAACAAATGACACTCCGCCTGTTCAGATTCAACTGCTCCCCATCCATTTAGAAACACTAAATCACTCAAAAAAACACTCAAAAAATTAGAATGGTGGAAATTAAAATTTCCTTTTAAACACTTGGCTATTAAGAACAAGCAACATTGGTACAGTCAAAATAAACTACTTAATCAATACTATCAGGTGATATTGTCATTTTTACCAAAGAAAGTACTATTATCTTTTTGAATGCTGTCCGCGTCTCCTACTGTATCTTTTTCTGATCCAAATCCGCACAACCAGTCAACACTGGAGAGGGCCACATTAAACAATATGCATTTGTTTCTGAATCAGTCCTGGCTGATGCACAAACCCAAGTTGTACTGCCACTCATGTGTTTGTGTCCTCTCCGTTTTATGCTTGATATCATGACATACACATATTATGCCAGGCTTGTGGCCACTAATTTTAATATTGCATCGCTGCATTGTATACAATGGACTTGGGCCTACCTTCTTTTTGCGGGCCTGTGGGTGATTCTGGCCATCCTGTGCCTTGCCCAGCAGGTCAGGGAACACCAGGGGCTTGAGAGAGCGAGAGCGGGGGGTCCGGGGGTAGCGGAAGGGATCCATCACACGGAAATCCCGGCCATAGCGCACAGAGCAGAGGGATCGGGAGCGCAGGCGCCCCGCAGAGTGCAGGCTATTCACCCCAATCATGGCTGCTGAAGTTCACAGACAGGGGTCCTCACACGAACCAGCAGGGAGGCTGCAGAGCCTGGCCAGAGCCAACAGAGTCCCGTAATCACCTATCAGTACTTAAGCCTGAAAATGTGTGAAAATCAAAGCTGAAATGTCCTTATTTTTGTTGTCCCGAAATCCTTGGTGCTCCAGAAAAATAAGGTCTTGCTGGTTTGAGTATCATGGGATGACTTCAGAGTGCTTCCAGAGTACGCTGGTAGAAATTGTTATGATGCAAATAAGAACACTTGCTCTTATGTAGTGGAAAGACGGCACTTGAAGAGGAGAGATTGGTTCTTTTAGGCACTGAGCTGGTGGTCTCAGTGGCAGAGCTCTTCGGCTTTAAACACTCACAGTGATTCTAGATGGAGAATTGCATTTAGGGTCCCTGCCAAGGATTTTAGTACCTCAAGATTTTTAACATTATTATACAAGCCACTTTTTGGCACAAAGATCTCTTAGTACTACACTACATAAGCTTCTGTCTGGTGTTTCAGAGTGAAGAGGAAGTAAGTGAATAAAGCTGAGAGATCGCAGAGTGAGGCCCTGTTTTTGTAAAGACAAAGGCTTTCACTAGCAAGTACAAAACTCTCCACCTGTAACACCACGCTGGCCAGTAACCTGGCCGGGTCACTGCCTGCTGTCTCGCTGTCCCTCTCTGCCAGTGGAGTGACTCACTCGCTCACACACCACCTCCTCTCATGGCGTGGCTGATGCACAGCCCTGCTCTTTGTTTCCCTGCATTCCGCATGGAACCACTCAGACCCCAGAGCGCAAGACACGTCGGACAGACTGAGCCAGAAGACAGACAGACAGCCAGCAACACAGAAGAACAGGCCCACAGGTGTGTGTCGATGGAGATGGGCAGTCAGCTGTGCAGGTGGACCAGCAGGTTGGACAACATGGAAGGACAAACAGCAGACTTCCTCCCACTCAGATTCACTGAAATTCTGCTCAATATCCTGACATGCCTTCCAGAGCAAAAACGATAGTAACAACAGAAATGAAAACCTGGATGAATATGGATTATATCCTGTTGCTCTCTTTTCAAGATGGACACTCAGCCTTGCAGTGAAGAAATTGGCACCTCTTCCTTGGATGAAATGGGAATGTGCCTTTTTTGTGATTTCCCATCCAGATTTCTCAGTGCTTTCTCTTCGGAGAGAGAAACTATCTCCTTTTTCTTTCGTTCACGCCTTTGGACACATCATTGGTCGATGTCTTATTTTTATTTATTTTTTAAAAAATGCTAGTCTCTTCTTTTTTTAAGCTTTTTCCTCCGTGGTACAACAAAGCAAGAAGCGTAGCCTCTGTTGTCTCTGTCCTCTGCTGCCTATTTCTCTACCTCTGCTCAATAGCTGTGCTTTTTTTTCATGCTGCAGATGAAAAGTGTCTGAATCGCACTGAAAAAGAGACCTGATGGGGGCTGAGAGCTCTCTCTCTCGCTCTCCCCTTCTCCCTCGCTCTCTCCATGCGTATCTCACCCCCCCCGCTCTGTCTCCAAGCAGCAAATCACAACCCACCCCCACTCCCCAATGCCCCCCTCTCACATGCCAATTAGCATTCAGCTCTAGTCTCTTCACTGAGGCAGGAAAGAGGTGTATTGAAAGACAGGAAGATGCAGAGAAACAGGTATGATCTTCTAGTGAAAAGGAAGAGGGAGAAAATAGAGGCTTTAGGAGAACAGTGGACAGAACAGAAAGAGGAGATGACATGTAAGAGGGAATGAATGAATACAGGATACACTGTCAAATCCAAATTGTAGTTGTCATGCTGCTTGCATAAGAAAATGTTTTCATACATGATGAAAAAACATTGAAGCCACTTCATGGATATATGGACTTTGATCTTTGAAAAACCAGAACATAACATGAAAGAAAGCTGGATCGCTGGCTGCTGGGTCTGGTAAGTTGAAACTGTTGCTGCCTGTACTTTAATTCAGATTGACTCTCAACTATATGGGAGAAAAACTGTAACAATACAGATTGAAGCAGCTGGTGTTGGAGTGGACCAGGAGGAGAAGTGACCAAGTCCGAGCACATAACCTGAAAGGGTCTGCAGCACTCTGTTTCGCTTGTGGAGGGGAGAAGACTGAGAGCAAAGGTCTGCTGACAGTTGCACGGCACAGATCTTTCGGAGACTTTTTAGCATTCTCAGTCACATCTCTTACGTCTTCTACATTTAATAAAGAAAAATTGACTTTTTATGACAGTGGCACAGCTCACTCTGGATACCTCCAAGTTGTCCTTCATCCACTTGTTTGTGAGTGAATGAGTCTGTATGTTTGCCCTGCCATGGACTTATGTCCTGTGCAAAATATATATCCTGTCTTGCACCTGCTGTCTGCTGGGTCAGACTCCGCCTTACTGCAAACCTGTATTGGACTAAATGGTTGTTGAAAATGAATGAAGGTCATTATGCATTGAAAGTGGGACAGCGAAAATCACTGATTCATCTCATTCAGCACCACAGACAAATCTGAAACAACTATAACAATACTTCCTTCCATTTATATAGTGTCTTTCTTTTAGCATTATCCCAAAGCACTTGACTGGTTGTAGGAGACTTCATTTTTCCCAAATGGGGTAGCCTCTCTAAATAGACCAAACCTGCACCCTGCAGATGCAGAAGCCACCAAGGGAAACCTCTCGAAGTCTCTGGCTAGACAGGTTATCAAAAATATTGACATTCAATCAGCCATAGATGGTTTATTTTCTTATTACCTGCAAATATTAATACAGCACTTAACTTATTGCTTTCCATCTGCGTAAATTTTGTAAAAAACATGTCACATCAGGACATGTCTCTTTGGAAAAGCAGCCTAGCAAAAGCTACAGTAGAGAATCTCCATCCCTCTCCTTCTCTATTGATACAGCTCTGGAAAAGCACTCAAACTTCAAACCCTGCACAATGCTGATGTAAGCAATGAGGTCCTGACTTGTCTTACTTAAAATTGCCCTGGTTCTTTCAGTCTGCATGCTGTCACCATGCAGCCCCCTGCAGTGCAGAAACACAGCTCTGTCACAGCATCCTTCCTGTGCTCTGACACTCTGACAGCTCCCAATACACTAGCCAATCCAGAGACAGCTGGACAGTTTTGTTTAAAAAACACCAGACAAACACAGATCCACACAGACACAGAGCTAACACTGCCTCACATAAACCAGACCTGACACAGGCCAACACTGCCTCAAGAACACCAGACTAACACGGCTTCAGAAACACCAGACCAATACTGGCTCACACACATCAGGCCAGCACTGCCTCACAAACATCAGACAAACACTGCCTCACATTCAACATGCTAGCACTAATTCACAGACACAAGGTCAATACTGCACCACAGATACAAGGTCAAAACCGCCTCACAGACACCAGCATAGCACTGCCTCACAAACAAGAGACCAGCACTGTGTAACAGACACCAGGACAGCACTGCATTAGATACATCAGACCAGCACTGCCTTACAGATTCCAGGTTAGCACTGCCTGACAGACAAAAGGGCAAAACTGTCTCAGGGACACCAGACCAACAATGAATCACAAACATCTGGCCAACACTGCCTCACAGACACCAGACGAGCACTGACTCACAGACGCAAGGCCAACACTGTCACACAGACATCAGACCATCCCTGCCTAACAGACACCAGACCAAAACTGCCTAACAGACACTAGGCCAACAATACTTTAAGGACAACAGACCAAAACTGCTTGACAAACACCAGATCAACACTGTCTCACAGAGACGAGGCCAGCACTGCCTCACACACATCATGCCAGCACTGTCTCACAGAAACAATGCAAATACTGCCTCACATTTACCATGCAACAATTGCGTCACAGACATCAGACCAACACTGCCTCAAAGACAGCAGGCCAACACTGCCTCACATTCTCCAGGCAAACAGTACCTCATAGACACAAGGGCAGTACTGCTTCACTGACACCGGGCCACAACTGCCTTACAGACATCAGACCAACACTGCCTCACAGATACTATGTCAAGATTGACTGAAAGACACCAGACCAGAACAGACCACCACTGCCTCATACACACTAGGCCAACAATACCTCAAGAACACAAATCAACACTACCTTACAAAACCCAGACTAACACTGTCTCAAGAGCAAATCTGACTAACACAATACCAGGACAAAACTGACTCACACACATAAGGCCAGCACTGCCTCACACACATCAGACCAACACTACCTCACAGATGCCAGGCTAACAAAGCCTCATAGATACAAGACCAACATTGCCTGACAGACACCTAGCCAATATTGCCTCACATAGATCAGACCAACACTGCCTCACAGACACCAGACCAACACTGCCTCACAAACTTCAGACCAAATCTGCCTCACAGACACAAGGCCAACACTGCCTTACAAACATCAGACCAACACTGCCTCACAAACATCAGAGCAACACTGCCTCACAGACACCAGGCCAACACTGCCTCACAGAAACAAGGCCAAAACTGCCTCACAGACACCAGGACAGCACTGCCTCACTGACACCAGGCCACAAATGCCTCACATTCAACAGGCTAGCACTGCCTCACAGACACCTGTTCAACTCTGTATTACACTCACCAGACCAGCAGTGCCTCACAGACACCAAACAATCACTGCCTCACATTCATCATGCAACAACTGCCTCACAGAAGCCAGACCAACACTACCTCACAGATGCCAGGCTAACAAAGACTCATAGACACAAGACCAAAATTGCCTGACAGACAACAAGCCAAAACTGCCTCAAAGATATCAGACCAACACTGCCTCACAGACAACAGGCCAATACTGCTTCACACACAAGGCCAACTCTACCTTAAGTAGACCAGACCAACACTGCCTCACCTTCACCAGGCAATCACTGTCTTACAGACATCAGACCAACACTGCCTCACAGACACTAGGCCACAATTACCTCACATTCAGCAGGCAAGCATTGCCTCACAGACACCAGGCCACAACTGCTTCACATTCACCAGTCCAGCACTGCCTCACAGACATGAGGCCAAAAACTGCCTCACAGATACCAAGCCAACACTGCCTAACAGACACCAGGCCAACACTGCCTCACAACACACCAGACCATCGTTACCTCACTGACACAAGGTCATCACTGCCTCACAGGCACAAGGCCAACTCTACCTCAAGTAGACCAGACCAACACTGCCTTACACACACAGACCATCACTGCCTCACAAACACCAGAGAAGCATTGCCTCATTGACAACAGGTAAGCTCTGCCTCACAGATACTAGGGCAGAACTGACTCAAAAGCACCAGGTCTACATTGGCTCACAGACACAAAGCCAGGACTCTCCCACATACTGTACACTAGATGAGCATTGTTTCATAATATCCTCCATTGTTATTACAAAGATGCTGGCTGATAGTACAGTAGGCACATTGTAATGTAACATATCATTTACATAGTGGTCTATGATCAAATAATGAATTCTTGCACACTTCTAACAATGGGTAAAAAATATTACTGATGCAAATTACAGTTGCAACAGCACTTTGCAGGAAAGATCATAGCACAAGGAATTAAATGACATCAGCTCTTTCTATATACCCATAGTATATAGTGAGCAGCATTAATAAAGCAATAATTGTTATTGATTCTAAAACTCATTGGTTATGTTTTTAATGCTTTTGTCTGTTGCTCCTAAACTTAACAACCCTTCACATCACTTTTCTGAAATTTTGAAGGAACATATAGTATAAAGTCAAACTCAGCAGCCACAGGCAGCTATTTCCGTCTTACTCAGGCTGATCAATGCACTCCAGTTATCTTTACTTAAGGATAATGGTTTGAATGAGTTCAAACTGCTCTTCTTTTCAAAATGGAAAGAAATAAACAAATAAAAGACCATTTTAAGAAAAAATAAAAGAGAAAGTCTTCTTAGAATAAGAAAGGGAAGAGAAGAGGGGTAATGACAAGCAGCCTCTACAGTTTCATACTCAGGCCTCTCTGTCTTGCAGCAGAAATGCTGATAAATGCACTATCTATAGACTGGATCCATTAAACCACAGCTAGGAAAGCAGTGCACTGGGAACTATGGAATAGGGACCTTAAAGGAAAATGCCAGTCTGAAAAGGGAGAACGTGAGGCAATCTGACAGACATTGACAGTTAGGGGGCCTTGGGTCCTTACACATCAAGCCCATTCTCATCTTTTTGAGCTATAGTCTTCTCCTTTCACTCCATTCACCAGCCACAACCGGTGCTCCTGTTACAAGGAAAGGGTGCCACCCATTGCCATTATTCACTTTGAGAGACCCATGACCAAAAATAATTGCGCCTGCATTCAGACAGGAAGGGCGAGGGAGGGAGAAAGAATGGAAAACAGAGCCAAAGACACTAGGGGCTGCCTCTGACATTCACCGCTGCACATTAATTGAATTCAACTGCCAACAACATGCACAGAATATCAAACAGGGGAGAGAGAGATGGAGATTTACAGAGAATTAATAAGAATGCATTTTTATGCTATGAATATTCCATTTTAATTTCCAAAGCACAGTCTCAGCTCTGCCGGTGATATACTGTATGATACCAGATCTACAGTATATGTTTTTTCACTGTTTTTGCTGTTGATATACAGTACGGAGATATGTGGATGGGTGAAGGGCGAGAGTTCACAGCGAGGTACAAAATGGATGTCAGAGAATGACTGCAGGCAATATGGAGGGTGGGAGAGAGAATGGCAGAACATTGTGGAGAGGGAAAATGGTGGGGCAACATGGGAACCCAGCAGTTACAGAGAGGAAGGAGGAGAACGAGGAAAGTGGATGCAGATGAGAGAAGGACAAAAAGAGGTAGCTACAGGGAAGAAGACAGAGAAAGAGAAGGAGTTGGAGTGGGAGAATACTACAAAGGACTGCCGTAACATTTGCCTCGAATAAATAAAGGACAATTACCAGTGAACCAGTCTCTTCCTTCTGTGTTCTCTCTCTGTGGTGATCATGAGCACAGAAACTAGCTTGACTAAAACACCCACCGATCTTCCAAAACACTCTGTGTAGCTGTCCATGTCTTCCACATTTCCAGCTGCCAGGGATCCAACCTTCACCATGTTGCATGAGCATCTACTGTACATCACGCTCTGCATGATATCAAAGTCAAGCTATCTAACAGAACAGAACAATGCAGTGCCCATGGTTGGGATGGAGTAGTGAAGGAAAGTGAATTTTTAGCACTTAAAACTGAGGAGCAGCTAGCACCCTTTCTGTGGAATAATCAATCACACTCTGTAGGATGAAATGAAATGTCTGTTCTAATTATAAACAAAAACATTTTTTAATTTAAAACAGGATTTTGTACCTTGTTACAGAAGTGAAATAAATATAAACTATAGCAGGTCAATCATTTTAACTCATCCTTGCAAAATAAATTTGAATAATCATTTTGCATATCTCTAATGATGCAGCGGATGCTGTTATGTTGGTGACTGGTCCGATTTCCTGCTTGTCATTGTGCCATGAACATATGAATGTTAAGTGCTAACCTTTAAAATATCAGGGATTGAATAGATAAAATATTTGCATTTTATTAAAAACACAGAATCATGGGAACCTCTCAGCCAAATCAGAGGCATAGAGTATTGCAATTAAGAGGAGACCACATATAGTAGCTCTCACACCTGTATGCTCAGCTTTCTTTGATAAGCTCAAACTGTATTCTCTCCCAGCTCTCTTCTACATGCTAACCATACAACTCTCTGTATGCTTTCCAGGCACCTGTTCCTTTCTCTCAGACACAAATGTCACAATCCAGCCCAGTCACACGGCTGTAAACCCCGAGACTCTTGCTCACTGGACACATGGTTTACAGGTAAGTTTTTCCAAACTGTGCTATCTACAACTGTCATGGTGCACAGAGAAAATCAGAAAACTTTCCCTGCTACCAGGCTCTCTTATGTTGATACAGTTTGGTGTCACAACAGTGAGGTCTAGCTATAACTCTCCTTCATCAATCTTGAGAGGTCTATCCGTTTTCATGGGAAAAGAGCTGCATTTCCCAGTCATTTTGAAAACAGATTTCCCCAAATATTCTCTGAGGCTAATTATTTCAGCCACAGACAGCATTTTTAATAAAGTAAGCACACATGCAAATCATCCCAGTTTATCACTTTATTGAGTAATTTGTTTTAAAGTGTTAATAGTGTTAAGTGTTAAGGTGGTTTCTTGTTCCACCACCATGGAAACTACTACCCAGGAAATCTCAGGCACTTCAGTGTAATTAAGGTCATACAAAACATCAGTGTATTGTCCAGACTGACAATGCACCACTTACATAAAACAGGCTTAAATAACATGTCCTCACATCAACTGTATTTTACCATGTTTTTAGCTGTGGTGACAATCATATTTCACAATGACAGTTTCTATTTATGGGTAGCAACGGTTGATGTGTTATATTAATTGTGGAATGTTATGATGCAGAAATATAAAGGGCTTTGCAATTTGAAGATAAGAGGTATAATGTAATGCATATAGTAGTTTATGTTTCATCACTTAGGTTAATAAAGGCTTTACTGTCACGATTGTCACCCCTCCTCTTAAGGGCACTCCGACCCTTTCGTATTTTAGTTGATTATGTGCTCCCTGTTTTGTTTCATTATTTAAGCCTGGTGCTCTCGCTATTCCTGGCTCAGCATGGAAGATGGACACCACAAGGCTGGCCTATTTCCCGGGCTCGCGGGCAGCCCGAGGGCAGGCCTTATTCCCTGGTGTTCTGACCGTCTGAGTCCGTGGCTCGGAGCGCCTGGCCTCGTCACTCTGTTTTAACTCCTTGTTCCTGTTCCGGATCCTGTTCCAGATTTTAAACCTGTTTGTCTCAGATGGATCCCCCGGTTCCTGGACTCTGGACTGCGCCCCGGTTTCCCCCTTTGGACTGTCTGGATTGTTCGCGTTACCCATGTCCCCGAGCACCTGATCACCGCCGTCACCACCCCCTGTCTGTCAACCCGTCCTAATCCTGCTGTACCTTTTCCTGATGTCCTTCTCCACTTACTTATGGATTTTAGCATCTGCATAGGGTCCTGAACTACACTTATAAGGGAACAAGTAATAGGTTTATTCCATGCTGAAAAAAAGAAGAAAGAAAACACAACGTTTAAGCCGTGAGCCTTCTTCAGGTGTGAGAGAGACAAGGCAGTAAGCAAAGGTAATGTAGCGGGAGAACAAAGGCTGGGAGGGAGGAGGAGTGAGAGGCGGGAGCAGGGGACAGAAAGAGACGCCAATCAAGAGGTGTGAAGCCAGAATAGGTGTAGAGAGGTGTGAAATAAAACTTCCAATGAATATGGAATGACACCTACACTTATAGTCAATATTATTGACTTATAGTCAATATGCCTACGATAGCAACTTTTCCCATTTAATGAATTGCAGAAACTTGTTCTTTCAATATGAGAGTTCCACTCCAGGACTGACCTTGAGCAGATCCCTGGGGAAGTCCTGTCTGTCGTTCAGACCCTCCAGGTTCCCAATGAACTGCATGCATGACATCCGCTTGCCAATGTTCTGAGGGAGTAGAAGCAGAGAGCAACATGTCACGAATACTGCCCTCGAGATCCTTCTTTGTAAAAGACCTTTTTAGTATCCCTTAATTTTATAGATTGACCAAGATGACTTTCTTACTCTTTCAACTATGATGCCATTCAATGGCTTCTTAGAATGTTATTGCATTGGCATAAGGCTTTATTCCAGACATTCTGGACTGATCTCTGCAGGAGACTTGTTGCCAAGGACCAGATATTCTGCCATACATACCAGTTGTATGACTACAGGGGTGATCTTCTGGTCATATACAGCACTGCTTCCATTCTGAAAGTTCTAACGCTGCTTTGAAACACAGAAACTATGGACAGGAGCCCAGCCTGGCTGCACTGAAAACAGCTGGACAGGAGCAGAGGAGCCCAACTTAGAGTTCCTCTCCTCTCTCAGTTAGCTCTGTGTCCCTCTCCTCTCTCAGTCAGCTCAGTGTCCCTCTACTCTGTCATTTAACTCAGTTTCCCTCTCCTCTCTCAGTTAGCTGAATGTCCCGCTCCTCTCTCAGTTACTGTAGCTCAGTGTCTCTCTCCTCTCTCACTTAACTCAGTGTCCTTCTCCTCTCTCAGTCAGCTCAGGGTCCCTCTACTCTCTCACTTAACTCAGTGTCCCTCTCCTCTCTCAGTTAGCTGTATGTCCCGCTCCTCTCTCAGTTACTGTAGCTCAGTGTCTCTCTCCTGTCTCACTTAACTCAGTGTCCTTCTCCTCTCTCAGTCAGCTCAGTGTCCCTATACTCTCTCACTTAACTCAGTGTCCCTCTCCTCTCTCAGTTAGATCTGTGTCCTTCTCCTCTCTCAGTTAGCTCTGTGTCCTTCTCCTCTCTGTTAGCTCAGTGTCTCTCTCCTCTCTCACTTAACTCAGTGTCCTTCTCCTCTCTCAGTCAGCTCAGTGTCCCTATACTCTCTCACTTAACTCAGTGTCCCTCTCCTCTCTCAGTAAGATCTGTGTCCTTCTCCTCTCTCAGTTAGCTCTGTGTCCTTCTCCTCTCTGTTAGCTCAGTGTCCCTCTCATCTCTCACTTAACTCAGTGTCCTTCTCCTCTCTCAGTTAGCTGTATGTCCCTCTCCTCTCTCAGTTAAGTCAGTGTCTCTCTCATTTCTCACTTATTTCATTGTCCTTTTTTTCTCTCTCAGTTAGCTCTGTGTACTTCTCCACTCTCAGTTAGCTCTGTGTCCCTCTCCTCTCTCAGTCACCTAAGTGTCCCTTTTTCTTCTCTCTCATCTTTTAGCTCAGTATCCCTCTCATCTCTCATACACAGTTTATACCTGTATTTACAGTTATAGTCTCATTATGTTTTCAATTGCTATTCTACATAAGGTGTAAAAACAGAAACAACAAATAGTTTGGGACTTTTAGATTTTTGTGAACAAACTATTTTGTTTGCAAAAATATAATTCGACTGGTGAAGACTGTTTCATTGGTCCTCACTGTGTCTGTTTTCACTAATACCTGCACACACTCACACACAGAACTAAAACTTGGTAGATTTAACTCTCATCCATTCATTATGGAAGCGCATTGCTGCAGCCAAGAAAAAAAACTCCTCACCCTTATCTCATAATTACGAGAAACATATCTTGTAATTATGACTTAGTAATTCTTGCGTATTCATGCGATAGCACAATTGTTGTATAAGACCTATATCAAGTAGGTAGCTATGTCAGCATGCGTAGGCTGCAAAGGAACGCGTTAAAGGTTTATTCCATGTTGAAAAGAGAAGAAAAGAAACACAATGTTTTGGCTGTGAGGGCTTCACAGCCGAAATGTTGTGTTACTTTCTTTTTCCCTTTATATATTCCATGCTTTTTTCTCTTTATTTATTCAATGTTTATTCCAAGCTGAAAAGAGAAAAAAAGTAACACAACATTTCGGCTGTGAAGCCCTCACAGCCAAAACGTTGTTTCTTTTCGGTATGGAATAAACATTTAATATATTCCTTTAATACTACAGCGCTCATGGGTTCTCGTGGGTTTATGCCCTCGTGGGTCCTGCCTCAGGTCGGCCCTGCACTGCTGGGGCTCAAACCCAGGTCTCCGGCGTCATTCATCAAGGAACCAGCCAGCTGAGCTAAAGGGAGATCTCACAACCTCACAGGGAAGGGCAGTGATGTCACCATGCTGGCAACCGGCTCGCACAACCTGTAATGTCGTCTGTGTCCTTTACAATACCTATATTGCTACGTGCGGACTTACAGTATTAAGCAGTGGAAATGATTGCACGTGTAACTGTTCATAACTGAACCATCATTGCTTTGATCTCTAAATCCCACATAACTGGTCCTCATGCTTGTAATGACTCCGTTCCTATTTGCTAAAAATTGCACGTTTCCATTATGACTGAACCTCAGTCGAAATCTGTACAAATTCTTAAGCACTGGACACAATCATTAAACCAAATTAAATGTGCCAGCCAAGTTCACTGTAGCTTCAACATGTGTTCAGTGCACAACGTAATGGGTTATACATACACTGACGTAAGCACTGCTATCTCGTAATTACGAGATAAGGGGGTGAATTTGATTTTTTTTTCCCTTAGTGACAACAATGCGCTTCCGTAATTAGTCTCTTCTCAATGCTCAAAACACTCACATGGCCATGGAGGTCTGTGTTGAGCAGCATCAGAGCACACGTCAGGGTGTGGACACTGTCTGAAAAAGAGACACACCATTGACAATGATGACAACCAAGAGGTCAGAATACCACTTTTAAACAAGGCCAGCTTCAGTAAAGTGTCATATTGTTTCAGGTTCTAAAGATGTCTCTCCCCTGTTTGTCTTAATCCTTCTTGATCTCACTGACACTGCAGGTCTCACCTCAGTGATGTTCCCTAAGGTCTTGTGCTGGGTCCTCTTCTGTTCTCTCTCCATCTCCTCTCATGTGCATGCTTTTTGTAACATTTTTATGCTTATAACGTTGAAATCTTCCTTTCTTCTCCTCCTACTGATACTCATGTTTACTTTGTCTCACAGTCATCATCTCCTGGGAGCTCTTCGATCATCTTAAACCCAACCACTCTCAGTCTGACGTCCTTTTTTGTCTTCCTCTCCCTCCCCCTCTATGGATCCTTTCATGTATTTTCTTCTTGACTCTGTCCCACCCCTCCTCTGTCAAGGACATCTTGTGTCATTTGGACCCTCTCTCTTCTACTCCCAACATTTCTTCTCAGACATGATTCTGGTTTCTCACCTTTAACAACAATCACAGAATCCACCAGTTTCTTACCAGTTATTGTAAACAACTCCTATTCCAGACCTTGGGAATTTCTCACCAGACACCTCTAACTACCACTTAGCTTGACATGCTGCCAAAGCCTTCCACCCACTCCAACTCATCTGGAATTCAGCTCCCCTTATCTTCACTGTTCTCTTTATACTGCATTCCCCTAGTGCCTCCTTTGGCTTCTTAGTGTTGCCTCAGCTTTCTCCACAACCACCATCAGTCTCTCCCCATATTCCCTCAGGACCTCTATGCATCAGACTTCTGTACCCTCTCTCTGTACTACTCTTTCACAGCCTGTTCAGTGGAATGAACTGCCCACAGAAAAGAAAGCCTCTCAGTCCCAGACCACCTTTCAGCTCCTGCTCTGGATTCACCTGTCAAGACTATACTGTACCCGTGACTTCTCCTCTCAAGCACATCTTTCAATAATTCTTACACTGTATTGCACTGATGTTTTAACTCTGAAATTGGTAGTGTAATTTCCTAGTAGCACTTACTCACTGTACACCCTATACTATATAAGTAAAGGATGTTTACATTACTGCTCTGTGCCCACTGCATCTGGACACTCTTTCTGTTTTTACTATTTCATTTGTTCATGAGCAAATGCTTGTCTATTTTGCACTAATTGCATTGTTATTTAATCAATTTATTTACCTTATTGTACCTGAATGATTGTTTCTTGCAGTTTCACATAATGTAAAGTTTCTAGACCAGTAAGGGTACCTGCTAAATTAATAATACTATTGCAGGTATCCATAGTCTACTGTACCTATTACAGCTGTTAAATCTGTGGGAAATTTAGATTTATATCAGGATGGAAAGGGACACAGCATTTTAGTTTGCACAATTAGAGCAACAACAGCAAATCCCAGTTTAATGACACTATTAGGCATTTTATCCTTATTTTTTATGGGAACCAGTTTGTACAGTATGTCATTGTACAAATGTATGTGTACAGGTGTATCTCAAGAACAGAGTGTACAGTGTAATGAACAGTTTTAACACACTGGAAATAGTCTTGGAACACAACACCAAACACAAAACGGAGAAGACACAAACAAAATACTCTCTGTTAGTGCTGTATCTCATGGGTCCTGATGCACAAGGTCATGCAGACGATATTCTCGCCACTCAGTGAAAAATGGAAACTTTCCCTCTTCTGGAGTTGCTGATTGTAATATGTAGTGATCTGAAGGACATTGACAAGAATGCAAAGACACAGTCATGGGGCTGTTGCTTACCTTCAGACGGTATGGTGTTGGGGTTGCAGGAGTGGTATCTCCTGGAGAAGTGGGACAGCACTCTTTCTCTCTCCTGTGTCTCTCCCATTAGCGCAAACTCCTTCAGAAAGACCCTGAAACATAGGTCAGAGCCTGGGGTTACTGTCCAACACAGTTCTTCAGACACTCCACTCACTTGAGCCTTGAGCTGTGCTGTACAACAGTCCTTCACCAGACGCATTTACATAGAAAAAGAAAAGATTTCCTTCAAAATCAACCTTGACATAAGGGTCTGAGGCAAGGACTTTTCAGACAGAATAATGGAACTGAGTCCCTGGAATTTTTCTAAAACTGTCCTGACTTTATTGAATTTCTAGAACTAATTGAGCACTGGAACTTGACTCTGTCTCCCTTGGAGGGGGATGTCAGCAGCACGGCTCGACTATGGTTTATCAAGCATTCAACATATTCCATGCACAGCAGCTTACCAAGGTTAAGTTGTGCATTATTTGCCATTTTTCTTTTGGTCTAGTTTGAATGATCTCTTAAGTCTTAAGCACAGTACACCATAGTCAATAATTTAACAAGGGATTGGACTGCAGGCATACAATGGCCTCACTTGAATTGTGTGCCCCATCCTCCTGTCTCTAATGAAGCCAGTCCCATAAATAACTGTTTTTTGCTCCCCAACCAAAAACAAATTTGTTTTGACAAGTTCCTACTAAGGATCTACTCAGTTATTTCACCTGGAAACGTTTTTGAATTTATTTAGCATTTTTATAATGATCTTTCCATCTGCTTTTATGTTTTTTCAGGGTTAGTTCTTCATCCGGAGTAATTCCATGAAAGGGGCTCACAAGCCAGTCAGAATTGCAACCCTCTGACCTACAAGCGATGGCCAGTGTGACCCTGTGGAGGTGTTCAGCTCACCGCAGAGCCTGGTCCACACTCATGCCTGTGAAGTTGAAGAAACGGAGATACTCCTCTGCCACCATCTGGCTGAACTCATTGCTGCAGGGAGAGCAACAGAGAAGGAGGCATCACTCGTCATTCACCTGTAGTCTCATCCCAACCAACACACCAGCACAGAACAGTGAAACCATCAAGACACAAGAACCAAGGCACACAAGTATTTATGCAGACTGTGCCCTTTATCATGCTTTATTATTTTTCATATTGATTGTTAAAAGACATACTGACACACTAAAACAAGGTTTCTGGAAACACAAATAACACCAAACACAAAATGGAGAAATCACAGATAATGCAATATCTCATGACCCTTAGTCTCCTTAAATTTCTGACAAAGTAAGACACTTTCCCAGATTGATCACAGCAGAAATAATTCATTCCGTGGATAGTTTACAACTGTGTAATACAATATATAGTGGAATACTGTAATACTAGTTGTAAATTAAACAGCTATTGACTCCACCACAGTCAAGAAATTTGCAGACTCTAATTGGAGAGATTATAAAACAGAAGACATTAAAAAATAAAACTTAAAAAAGTTATTCTCGATTCACTGTGATATTCCAAAATGAGCTTTGCAGCTGCAAGGCCTTACATTTACTCCACTACTTCTCTTTTAGCTCCCTATTTTCTTTGTTTTTTTAAACAATCACTTTATCAGAGTGATATTTTCAAATGATTTGGAAAAAAATACATGAAGAAGCTTATTACTAAGCCTAATTTTTGCATGATATCTGTTATTTCATTATTTCCATGATAAGTGAGAAAACACAATTTTATTAGATCCCTTTGACCACAGCAGGAGGTTTTGCATAAAGCTGATATCTACAAGGTGGGCTGGTGTACAGTGACGGAAACTCATGTGACTATACAGTGACTACAAAGCTCATTGCTTTGTAGCAGGACTTTGGAAATACCTTAACTCATTTGGTTTTTGGAACATTTCTTCTGAGAAAGTTTCAAAAAAAGTGGAAGAAATACAGGTAAATGGAGTGGCAGGTATTTGAGCCATCACCTGGCTGAACTAATTGTCATTAGCAGACATGTTTGTGGTAGCAGTGTGTTGTTCTGTGTATTTCCTATGTTTACACTATAACATATTGCACACATGCTCCATGCTCCATTTATCATTTCTCATCCGAGTACCATGTACAGTTAAAGAGAGGAACACAGGCTACTCAGCAATGTTGCTGAAGCCAGCTCTCCAGGATCCTTCACAGATGGATGGAATTCTTGGACTGAACAGCTGAAGCGAGCCTAAGAAACAAAATGGCCTCCTCTGATTTGTGATGTTTCTATTGACACAAGAACACAAAATTTAACCCTGGGAGGAGACACAGGAGTACGGAGACACAGGAGACAAGACAGAAGTAACATCATCACTTGCTTCTTGCTCAGGTGTCGGGCCACATCAGACTTCTTGAAGCCTTCCAGATTGTATAATCTCTTGGCCAGGCGCTTGGCTGCCTCCAGGTCAGCTTTGTTGCCATTGGTGAGAGTATCGGTGCTGCCCAGGCACAGTGGCTCAGTCAGGTCTAGTTCCAGGTCCATATCGGAGGCCAGGTGAGCAGTTGGTTTCTCACTGAGGACAGAAGGTGGAGAGAGGGGCTTTAGTCCATACTGCAGCACTTTCCGTACATCACCTGCATCTCAGACTCGACCCAAGACACAGGGGCAATGGCAATACATTAGATCTTGTGTATAAACATATTGTTACCAACCCAAGAACTCGAAGCCACCTGTTTGAAAAAATACAGTAGGCAACATTGCAGTTGTAGACAACATTGTAGGTAAGAAAAAAAGTGAAGATACCAAATTCCTTTTCTGAAATAAAACACAGCTATGCCATCAGAAATTGTCTACATTTTGTGGGAATCCTAACGCTAACTTTAGCTTTGGATTTGGCTTACAGTAGGTTAGGGTTAGGGTTAAGACTTTGTTCAAAGACTTTCCAAAATCCTTCACTCAGGTGAAAATATACTTCACGGAATGCAAATATTAGCCAGAAATGAATAAGCAAGCTCACTCAACCAAAGAAAGTGCATCAACAATTGTGAAATTCTATTTTTGACAAGTGTTGTGTAACTGGAATTTTGGGCTGAACTGCGGACTCATGGAGCATGGTTCCAGGCTCATAGTAGGCTAAGAGTCAGGAAGACCCCCATAAAGGTAGACTATTTGTTAATATATCCATGCATTCAATTACAAATGCAAGAGTTTAAAACATACAGTAACTATAAGCAGCATGAGTCTGCAGTTTAAATTTTCAAATTCTCACACTGGGCTTGATATTGGACATGTTCAAGAAAAAATAAGCCTGTTAACATCCTGCTGTCAGAGAAAAAAATATTGTTTATAATTACCATCCTTATCTTTCCTCACATAAAGTACACATGCAGTTATTTTAATTATATTTAGGCATGTTGCTTTTGAAAGCTTATTTTTAGAAATAAAGAAATGACCATATAAAACATTCTACATAACCAATTTATGAACATCATAAAGGTTACAAGAGAGGAACTTATTTAACCCATTTATAGTACTTTGCAAAGGCATTCACCCCCTTCTGCTGATGTCGTACTTTCTTGAATTACAAATGAAATACTTTAAATACAAGTTTTGAAAATTGATATTTTTTAATACAAAATTGATTGCTCAGACTAAACACTATTAAGAAAGAAACTTAAATATCAACAAAAAATCAATTAATAAACCTTGTTGATTGTTTAAGTATTCACTTAGTATTCAGTATTTAATTGATCCCAGTATCTCAACCAGCAATTTCTTAGAAGAAGAATGGGTATTGTCTTTAATAACAGTTGGAACATAATCTTTTTCCAGATTCCAGAAACCCTCTTTGTAAAGAAGTGTCTCCTGCTCTCAGTTCTTATTGCATGTTTACATAGGTTCCAGCTGCACCTTTGATTTATTTTCATTGTGTTCATTCGGGTTGACTTTGTCAGTACCTTACAGGATTTTGAACTGTTGTTCCTACAACATTCCCATGCAGTCTTTTTTACATACTAAAAAGGTACAGTTTCTTCAGCTTGCCAGTTTAGGGCACTCCAGTAATCCCTGGGCTATATCTGGTTGCTCTTCTTCTAGAGCAGCAACATTTTCTTTTGTAATGTGGCAATCTAAATTGTGCAGGTATTAGTAGTGTATTTGTACTATCTTCACATAACATTGCTGAATTTTATTTCTACATCTTTAACTGTTGTAGAGGCAAGGCTTATTAAAAATACAGGAATTAAGTTTGCTGCTCCCTCGCCAGTCTCTCTCTCCCTCATCTCAGTGGTGCTGGATACAAAGAGGCCAATCCATTTGGTTCACATTTAAGTTGTTTTTCTTTAGGAACAACTCCTAAAGCTGAGATTCACCAGCCACCCTAATAAATAGTAATCTCTGACACCTTAATGTCTGGGAGGTTCCTTGGGAGAGTCGCATCCCAGGTTGTTTACGACCCTAATGTCAGAGAGCATGATTACCGATCCTCCACCTCGATCAGCCAATCAGGAACTGATAGGGCAGGGTAACGTCATGTGGGTCTCGAATGCCCACGGAACATTCAACCAATGAACGACCGTAGTTAAAACAGTTCCAGATAAAACAGGCAGCGCAGTGCCCAGGAAGGGGCTCCTCTAGGACATTCTCATACTCATCTCGGACAATCACGTAACAGCCAGTGTGTCTGAGTGCCAGGACTTTACTTTGTTCTAAGAGTCGAGAACGGAGGTCGGCACGCGTAACTAAAGGATCCGCCTGAGCTTAGCCCAGCAGCAAGCCTTGCGAACCCACTGCAAACACTCGCCTGATCAACGAGTGAACTACGGTCGGAAGTGTGGACAGCTGAATCTCAGGATTAAGGACTACTGCCGCATCGGGAACGAACCGGTCTTCGTGTGACTTGCTTGGACCCGCAGTCACTTTCCATGTGCACAATCTCTGCTAGTTAAGCCAGGACTAACTAGCCGGTCTTCAGAGACCCCACTGCCAGCGTGTCACAGCAGGAATCTCTCCCTCCTTCTCCCACACCTCACACCTGACCAGCACTGCTTGCAACGGGCCAGAGGACTGCACTGTTCTCTTGTGTCCACGGGAAATCTGAATCCAAAGAGATTGGATGAGTATTCAACATTCCGCATTATAGCTCGAGAATTCAATTGTTACCTCAACCCCAGTTGATATCAATTTAATTTCTATGAGTGATGTACTTGTTTTGAGTATCTAGTGTAGAAGTTGTAATCAAAGTTCATTTACGAAACGGTATAAATGAATGGTATACTGAATGTATCTCCGTCTTGGTATTTGAAGATCTTCGTTATTGAATATATACCTTTTGTATTCTGCTAACCCTCACTATAAGATCTGTTATGTTTATATGCACATTTTATATGTTAATAAATGTATTCTTGTGTATTAGTATCCGTGTGTGTGTGCATTGCTGAGTTACCCCGCTGGGTTGGTTTTCTAATTGCCATCAAAGAATCATTTTGTGACTTACTGCTACAATTAATAATTGTCCCAGTAAATGCACAAAGCCCCTGTTGGTTATCTGTAACGTACAGTTCTTTCCGGACCCTATGCAGACGACACAATCCGAAGAAGTGGGAAACACTAGGAAAAAGTCATGCAGGGATACGGGGCTGAAAACAGGGGGGGCGTGTCCAAAGTGTGCTGGTGCACGGGGAAGGTGTGGCCGAGGCAAACAATCCAAAAGTAATCCATAGAGGGAATCCAAAAACACAAGAAAGTCCATAGCCAGGTGATCCATTCAAACAAGGAATTAAAAACACGAACCAGGTCGGAACCAGCAGACAAGGAACAGGAAGAGAGGTTAAAACCTTAACTGGACCAGGCGCTTCCAGGTCCCGGACTCGCACGGTGCACAAACCAGATGCAGAGCCAGGCTGAACGTCAGCGCCTTGCTTTTAAGGTGGACTGGGAAAAGGGGTCAGGTGCACAGAATTAAGTCTGAAGTGAAAGGGCTGGAGCACCCTTAAGGAGGAGGGACGATAATCGTGACATTATCCCCACTTTTGAAGGTCACGAGGTCCTGAGACATTGTTGTTTTCAAACAAAAACAGGTTTGATGTCCCTTGTATTTTTAAAACATTAACCTTAAATGTTCACATTAGTTCTCGAGAATTCATACAGGAGCCAGCATTGGAAACATATATTATGAATAACATCCGCTTGAACAGATGATAAGTCACACTCACATGAGAAGCTGACCATCACTTACAGTAGCTTATCATAACACCTGGAGCATGTATAACCAAGGTAGGAGACATCATCTAAATCTAGGCTTTACACGTCGGGAAGTTCACTGTCAATATCTGATACCTCTGTAGTCGGCAGATTTTGGGGAGAGGTCACTTAATTTCTTTTGACATGTTACCTTTGACTCATTCATGCTACCTGCCAGACATGATCCAGCTACCCAGCAGCAGCATTAGACCGGTTCCTTTTCCCAGCCCCCCGATGAACCACAACAACTGTGATGGGCACCTACCAGGGTGGTTTGGAGGTCTGTTCCATTAAAGGCGAACTCAACTACCTGTACCCCTTCAAGGCTTACTTGTTTCTTGGACTTAACTATCCAATTCAACAGTGCAGCACCTGAAGGCATCCACGACCTCACGTTTGGTCTTAAATTGTCTGGTTCTAGACAGTACAGTGTTAAGTCACCAAGATGCACTATGGCCTCCTCGGGAACTTGCAGGAAAACTGTTTGATTAGGCAGCTGCGTTGTGGTAGCTGTATCATGTGGTGTACCGACCAGCCATTTACTTCCAAACCTGCTCTCCATGGGGGTTCACAAACCTCCCTCTGCTCGTTCTAGTAGCTTTACACCTTTCAATGGTGGATCATTTAGACACAGCCAATGGATAGCATTGGTAACCATACCCATCGCAAGATTTGGAACCAAATTCAATCTTGGATCGCCTTCTGGGTGAGCCATGAGCCATGGGGTGGTTAACGTCACATGCTCCTCTACTTATAAGAGTGGGATGAAGTGGGTTCAGATTTAACCCTGTTGCATAGGAAGTTACCTGTAGGGTTTTCCCTAGGCTTTCCAGCTTTTGCTGCTGTTGATACAGCCTGTCACTACCCTCTGCCATCACCTTCTGCATCTTTGACACCTGCCTTCTTGGGGCGGTCAGGGTGAGAGTGCCAATAGCAATCAAAAATAGAAAACGCACAACAGTGTTGGCAGCAATCAGTCCTCCCAAAAGTATTTTAGGGTGGCTGATCCTAGTCATCTCTTCCTGAGTGGCTGTTGCCTGGCAGAGCATGTACATATGGCATCCTGGGCAACAACATCTTGGAAATCTGGGGAGATCTGATGCGGCTGCTGATGCTGCTCCTCCGTTTCCAGGGCATCTGCTTTTCCGATCTATTCATGCCTGTTTATAATCGTTCGATGGGGGTGGGTGTAGGACACCTGCTCGCTCCCTCCTTCCCTTGCTAGGGGGTTAGGGAACTGCCCCAGCACTGGGATAACTAGTTCACAGTCTTTGAACTCACTATCACTCACCAGGGCCATGTCAGCGCGGGCGGGGATTCTGACACCCCTCT